TATGAGTTAACTGACCATGACCTGACTAAGTTATCATTCTTTTTTCAATTTTTTTACTATTTCTACATCCTTTTAATCTTGTAAAGCAGCCTTGCTGAATGTTAGTACAAAAATAAAGTATAAAAGTTCTAAAACTTTAAAAAAAATTTTATACTTGACATTAGAACTAAACTTCAGATTTACATATATTTTATTCTTTCTTTTAAAGGTGGCTATGATCAAGCACATCCATTACTAGCTGATATATTGAACTCAAGCAAAATAGTAGTAATAACACCGTGTTTGCAACCACCTAAATATTCTGCAGTGCTTCATTGGTTACACAATCAAAAAGAATGCAAGAGTCCAATAAAAAAATCTCATATTCATGAAAAATATTTAAAACCAGATGGTGATATTGCTTTACAGAAAGAATCACTTCAGGTTAATCCTGATATAGAGAATGCATGTTTGTTTCCAGCTTTAGCAACATCTCCTTCTTTGCAGAACTCAAATGAACCTGAAATATCTACTCCATGTGGTTTTTTTAGTGATAAAGATCCAATAGTTGCTTTTGAAGTTGGTGAAATTCAGGCATGACAGTAAATTTTTATCATGGCAGTTTTATAACCATCTTTTTATATGGTACCTAAAAAGTACCAAGTTTGCTATATGACAGAATAATAATATTTTAATTTTATTGAAAGGATGCTGTTGAACTCATTAAAACCATATGTAGATTTTAACTCCCTCCATACTAACATTCAATGTATGTGCACATGTCCCCCATATATCCATATTTTGGTATAATGTTATCAGTATTTAAGTAAAGTAATTAGCTACATAAGTTGTTTTTTACTCTGGATTTATTTTTGCCTTTGTGTCAATTTTTAGGTTTTTAAATGCAGATATAATTTTTTTATAAAAAAATAAAAAAGAAAATCAAAAAATAACTTTTTGCTTTAATCCAACTCATCAGTTAAAGTAAATTTAAAATTCCAAACTCATTGTTGATATATGTACTATCATGCTCTATTTTAATATGGCATTATTGTAATGATCATCATTATTAGTGATGTACTAAATAGTAATTTGTATAAAGACATCATGGCTTACTATATTCATGGGCAACATTATTTTATTTTATTGAAAGCATTCTTTTTTTTTGTTTTTAACAAATAATGAGTTAGTTACATATTAGTTTATGTTTTTGAAATAAATAAATTAATAAAACCTCAAAAATAAAAAACGTGTATATAAAATTGAAGCCAAGCACATTTTTTTAAAAAAATTGAAAACTCATTTTTTATGTTTCTAAAAGCTATAAAAAAATTTTATAAAAAAAAAATTCAAAATAAAATTACAATTAATTAAAAAAAAAATATTGAATTTTAAATTGTCAGTTATTATTATAAAAAATTAGGCAAAGTGATATTTTCTTGAAACAGTAAAATCATAAAATAATAATAATAATAATAAGGTATAACTGTAACAACTGTTTTAAACAGTTGCGAAGTGCAATAACATAAGATATTGCACTGTAACAGCTCATTTTGTCTTTTGTTTGTGTTTTAACAAATAGTTTCTGCAAAATCCAGCTCTGTCTAGTTTGTTTTTGAAGTTATTTATTGAAGTAGCTTCTATTATTTCAGATGGTAAGCTGTTCCACGCATTTACAACTCGATTTTGGAAAAAATGATACCTGAAGGTATTTCTGCTAAAAGGCTTCCTCATTTTGAATTTGTGTTGTCGCAGACATGGACCCTCCTCCAATGCATTTCCACAATCGTTAGCAACCCAATTTATTTTATCGAGGCCATGCTGAATTTTATATTGTTGAATCAGATCTCCACGTAGTCTACATTCTTCCAGTGACGTTAATTGCATAATATTCAACCTAGCCTCATATGATAATTTCCTAATTGTAGGTGCTAGTTTGGTTGCTCTTTTTTGGATTTTCTCAATCTTGTCTATGTCTTGTTTTAAAAATGGAGACCATGCCTGGACCGAAACTCAAGATGTGGACGTATGAACGTTGTATAGAGCATTTTTACCATGTTTACATCTAAATATTTAAAGCTTCTCTTTATGGTACCTAACATTCTGTTTGCTTTGCTGGTTGCTGAATCAACTTGTGAGTGCCATTTTAAATCGGATTGAACCATTATACCCAAATCACGTTCAGCTTTTGTGTTACACAATGTATAATTGTAATTGCAATCAATATTAGTCATTATAAATGTAGCATTTGGATTTTTTTTCCCAATATGCATAACTTTGCATTTTTCATAATTAAATTTTGTGAGCCAAATAGATGACCATGCCATTATGTTATTTATATCATTTTGAAGGCTTATTGAATCATTAGGATTTTTTATTATATTTATTATTTTACTATCATCAGCGTAAAGTTTAATAGGGTTTTTGACTTGATCTGGCAAATCATTAATAAAAATCAAAAACAGCAGTGGTCCTAAAACTGACCCCTGTGGTACACCACTAATAACTGGTAGCCAATCTGAGACTGTGTCGCCAAGGACCACTCTCTGTTTTCTGTTAGTTAAAAAGTTCTCTATCCATCCCAGATAATTTCTCACAATACCATATGATTGAAGTTTAGTGATCAAACGCGAGTGTGGTACTTTATCGAAAGCCTTTTCAAAGTCTAGATACAACATATCAACTGAGTGGCCATTTTCTAGTGCATCTGTTATGATATCAAGAGTTTCCAATAGGTTTTATTGTGCAGCTTTTATTTTTTCTGAACCCATGCTGATTTTCATTTAATAAGCTGTTATTTATTAGATAATCCATAATTTCATCTCTAATGAGTGATTCCAAAACTTTACATGGGATAGAAGTCAATGAGATTGGCCTGTAATTAGATGCAATGTTCGTATTACCTTTTTTAAAAATTGGTGTTATATTTGCTAATTTCCAGAGTTCAGGTAATTTTTTCTCAGTCAACGATTTTATATATATTAAATGTAATGGTTCACAGAGAGTACTATGACATTTATTTAAAACATATGGGCTTATCCCATCTACTCCGATAGCTTTGTAAACATCTAATTTTTTTAATTTTTTTTCAATAGTATGGCAAGTTATTTTATTATTTATATCTTCTTCTAGAATAATTTCAGTCTTCTGCGGTATATTTGGTATGTTATGTTTATCTTCGTTAACACAAACTGAATTGAAACTATTGTTTAAAATATTTGCTATAAATTCTCTATTTGTTACAATGTTATTATATTCATTAGACATTGAAGCTATTCCTCCTTTAATTTTTTTGTTAGAATTTACATAACTATAAAATAACTTGGGATTTATTTTTGATGTTTTACTGATTTTTTTTTCATATTTAATACGTTTTAACCTCACCATGTTTTTAACTAATTTACTTTGTATTTTGTATTGCTGAACCAAAATGGGTGATTTGGATTTATTTGATATTAATTTGTTCCATAAGGTTGTTTTATGTCTGATTTCAGTCTTAATTTGTTTGTCAATATATGGTATTAAAGCTATGTGTTTATGCACTTTTTTAGGTATATAACAGTCACATAATTCTTGATATTTATTTACAAAAATTTTGTAGCATTCATCAACATTTTTATTAGAAAAAATATGTGACCATCTTATACTATGGAATGAATTGTTCATTTCTTGATAATTTCCGGCTTTGTAGTTAAACTTTGATTTCCCATAGGAAGATTTTGATGTTGTTGGTTTTTTTAAGATGTAATTCCAATACAATATCTGATGTGCATTATTTAAATTGCTTAACGGAGGATTATAGCCTATGATCGAAATACGCTCTGGTGCATCGGTTAAAATCAAATCTAAGGTATTGCCTTCTGACAGTGTCCCTGAATTAAAGGTTGGTTTTGTGACGTTTTGAGTCAAAAAGTTATCATTTAAATTGTCTAAAAAAATTTGTGCTTGTCTATCATTTTTTAACACTGTTTGGATATTCTCATTATTCTCATTCCATTTTATATTTGGGTAATTTAGGTCTCCGGCTAAGAGTAGACCTGAATATTTGTTGCAATCAACACTTTTTTTAGCTTTATTTATTATTTTATTTATTTTTTGATTTGTCAATTCTGTAGCATCTGGTGGACGATATATGCTACCAATTAAGATATTCTCATTTTCTGTTTTAATGACACACCAGACTTGTTTAACTGTTATTTCTTTAGATGCTAGGTCATATGGAGTATAGGCAATGTATTTATTTTTAACATAAATAGCTACACCTCCGCCATGAGATTTAGTTGAATTAGATTTAGATCGATTGTTGTAAAAAACATTATACCCGCCTACATTTATGGCACTTGATGAGTTAAACCAAGTTTCAGTTACAATAAATATGTCAGGATTATACACTGCTATTTCTAACAAAAACAAAACGAACTTATTGTTAAGTGAAGTCGCATTTGTATATCTACAACATAGATGGTATTTGGGTATTGATTTGCATAATAATACTTCTGATTTAACATAATTAGATACAGGATTATGTGTAGAAAGGACAGCCATTACTGCAGGTTGATGCAAATTAATTGAGGATTGCTATTGCTTTGGTTTTTTTATGAGTTTCACAACTTTAAAATTTCTTATAGTGTAGTAGTATTCATCTTTTTGATTTAGGCTAGCATTTAACAATTTAACTTCACTACGTAGCTGTTTAATAAGATCTCTTTCGGATTCTGTCATATCTGAGTTAAAATAGATTTCATTTATCTTGTTTCTGTTAATGTATGCAGCTTTTAATACACTTATTTTGTCTGACGCATTGTCTAACTCAATGATAACTGGTGGTATTTTTGATGTGTCTCTTGTTTTGAGTCGAATGACCTTTTTTATTTTATCCTTGTCTGCATTTATTGAGTCAAAAATATTGTTTACCATATCTTCATCACATTTTTTCATGTCAATGTTATCATGATTTGCTAACTTAACACCAAAAATAATAATATTATTTTTTCTTTTATTACGTTCTTTTTCCTCATGTAGAACCGTGTTTATAATATCATTTTGGCCTTGATTTGTTTTAACTTTTCTTTTTACGACTTCACTCCAATTATTTAAATCTTTTGATTTATCTTGGTCTAATTTATTTTCTAATTCATTTACCCTTCCTTCAAGATTTTTTATCAAAACATCTTTCTCGTCTAGTTTTTTTTCCAATTGCTTTATTTTTTCTTGCATTTCTTGTAGTAACATATTTATGTCTGAATTTTTTGGTGGCATTTTAAGAGTGAAACCAAACCAAATCAACTCTTGTCAATACCAACTTCAATTTCTCTGATAAGAGGGCTACCACCCTAAAACAGTGGGTTACCTCTGGGTTGTGAACTTGTAAACCTTATTACACAGGAACTAAAAAGTTGCAGTATGTGTTTTTTTCCGTTTGATATAAAAACAGTTAGATAAGATAACACAACAAACTGAAGTGTAAAGATGGTAAAATAAAAAGATGGTAAAATAAAAAGTTGGAATGAAATATTCAATGAAAGATGTTATTACTAGGCTTAAGACTTAACCTATCATGATCTCTCTGACATATTTGTGGGTAAAAATAAAATGATGTATCTTCAACTCAAAGATCTTAACTGACATAGCCATCAATATAAACCAAAGATGTTTTAATTTCTTTAGATAAATCACTTTCAATAACAGGAAGATTGTAAAAAAATATTTAACAAAGTATCATCTTGCATTACATAATTACATCTGTCGTATAAATGATTGGTACAAATGGGTTGTAGAAACTCAGCAATGATATCAATAAATTCATATCAATAAAATATTGATATCAATAAAAAAAATTTTTTTTTAATGTCAACTTATTGCAGTATTTGCTGAACATTAATAAAATAGGTACCACCTGATCCTTGTCGAAGTTTTCCAAATGCTTTCTAAATAGGATCTCAAGTTAAATATCAAACATTTTTATGACAAGTGAAAAAATAGATTTCTAACTTTAGTACAAATATCTTTATAAAGTCCTTTAACATTACCAATTTTAAAAAAGTTGATAAAAATACGTTTAAAAAACTGTAGTATCATCAGCATTTTGAATTAATGGATAAGCTTAAAGTAGCAGTTTGTAAAGCAAACGTCTCATCAGAAAATACTCATAAACAAATTGATATATTTTGATAAAAATTTAGGAAAAAATTTCAAGTAACATCTTTTTCAAATTGAAAAAGTTGTTCTAAAATCCAACCATTTTTCAGTTTTTGAATTACATTCTTAAGTAAAATATAGTTGTTAACATTTTTCTGTGATCCAGCTATTGCAAACATTTTTTATTAGATGAATAAAGTCATGTATGAGAAAAATGTTATCAATACAACAAATATTATGGGGATAAAACATTCCAAAAAGCATTTGATTTACTTTATTGTTGTAAAAAATATTATATTTATTTAATGTTGTAAAAAACAGCAACAACAGAACTACTACAATTTATTATTTTAAATTTATTTTTATTGTTTGACTGGTATTGCTATGAACAAAATCTGTTTTCCACCAAATAATGAACAAGTTCAATCCCCACCACCTCCCTGGTAGTGCAGCGCTCAACTCGTTTCTCCTCGCAGCGGCCTTGTTCGTCAAGGTTCGTGTTTCGGAGTTATAGAGTTGAGAGAGGGTTATAACCACAAATAAGTAGCCTCCTCGTCTGTAGTGGCCTTCTTGGCCTTGAGGAGGTGAATTAAAATGAAAAAATTAAAAAATAATAATCATTGATAAACCCAAATCTGTTTTTGTTGATTCATTTGGGGAGTTAACTGATTTACCAAAAATAGTATTTCTTTGAGATGTTAACTGTGTTTTAACATAAATTTCATTGTAAAATAACTTATCTTTGAGAAATAAAATATTTGTCACAATTCAACTTTCATCTTTAACATTTCTAACTTTTAATGTCAATTTTTTTCATCAGTGATATATTTGGTTGTTCATAGCCATTGTTTAACTAAGAGTAAAAAATTCTTTTCAATGAAATGTGCTTAAATGCTATGGTAACCATATCAGGAGAGTATATTATTTCTGCCCAAAAAATATATAAAATATAATACAAACTATAATTTTTACCAAAAAACTTGTAGCAGAATTTGTATTTTGTTACTTGACTGTTGATTGTGGTAACACGTGAAACTCTGTGTAGCAATATTCTTCTTTAAATATTAGTAACTTAGTTAATTCCTGTTAATAGTGATATATATATATATATATATATATATATATATATATATATATATATATATATATATATATATATATATTAAAATATAAATTTTTTTATGGATTTATTTCTATTGCTAAAAATATATTTTTAAGATATTTTGAGGGAATTTGATACCCACAAGAGCACTCTAATTTGTAAACAAATTAGAGTGCTCTTGTGACAAATGTTATGTTGGTGAAACTGGATTAAAGATATTGTCTCAGATATGCCAGCATCAAACAAATGCACAACAAGGTAAAGAGAAAAATTCAGCTGTAGCTGAACATTCGAAAATTTGCCAAGGAAATTTCTACTGGGATGGTCGCAATACCTTAAAAACAGAAATAAATAATTTTAATAGGAAAGTTAACGAAACTCTGGAAACACAACACAATGATAGTACCTTTTGCAACAATGGTCTTAACTAGGATGATGGTAATTATGTAAGGACATCATTTTGGAAACCCATGCTCAAATTCTTACGTCACAAAAAGCTCTCTTAAAACACTCTTAAAAACTTATACAAAAAACATTGTTTTGTAAATTTAAATGGTTTTTGTATAATATAGTGGTTTTATTTTTTATAACAGTTTTTATTATATTTGAAAATGAGGGTATCAATATTCCCTCGAAATTTTGTAAAAATAAATATATTTTTAGCAAATAGAAATAAATCTATAAAAAGAAGTTTTTTTTTTAAATATTTATACTATTAAAATTTAAATGAGGCAAAATAATTTTTGTTAAATGCATATTTCATAAATAATTTTATATTTTTAAGAAAAAAATAAAATAATAAAAAAATGAAAAAAAAAATAGTGAATGTTATTAGCTATTAGGTTTGTAGCTAGCAATATTAAATGTTTGTTTTCATGATGGCACTTTGATATAAATTTAGATTGTTTATTAAGTAGTTCATCAGGTTTATATATATATATATATATATATATATATATATATATATATATATATATATATATATATATATATATATATATATATATATATATATATATATATATATTTATATATATATATATATATATATATATATATTTATATATATATATATATATATATATTATTGTTGTTATTATTATTATTATTAATATTGTTGTTATTGCTAATGCTATTATTATTTACTTACCTATAACTTTTTTTAAATGTTTTATAGAGTCATAAGAAAACCACCTTTAAAGGCATCAATTCTTCTGATATTGAAGGATTTACACCTAATAATACATATGCATTCAAGACAACCCAGCAAAACATTTCCAATGCTAAAGCTATTCATTTTGTAGGCTTTTTTATTAAACTTTTTGTTATTTATTTTGGAGGCTGTTTTAATAAACATTTTGTTAATATTTCTTTGAAAACCTTAAATTTAACAAGAGTTATAACTTCAATTTACTTATTATTTGCTATTATGTGTTTTTAGAATCAATCTCTTACAATTGTTAGCATTGAGCTTCATATTCAAACAAGAAGAAATCTTAGACCTGATCCAACTATTGATCCTATAAATTCAATATTCTACACTATGCATCAAGAATTGTTAAACATTGATGTTTCTGGAGTGTTTATTACTGATACCTGTATGATTTCCCAAAATAGTACTCAATTGTTGAAGAAAGCTGGTATTGCTATATCATCAACTCACTGTTTTAGTGATGAGCTGCTTATGCTGAAAGGGTTTAGCTCTTTTATACAAGAGCATGATCCTGACATTCTTGTTGGTTATGAGGTTCAAATGCTTTCAATTGGTTATTTAATTGAAAGAGCAGCAGCTCTAAATTATAACATGTGTCATGCTATGTCTCGTATTAGTAGTACTGAAGTTTACTCCAAAAAGATTCAAAAAGATCAGGAAGACAACTGGTTTGGCCAGCTCGTTTCCATGGAAATTACTGGAAGAATAATTTTAAACCTGTGGAGAATAATGAGAAGCGAGGTTTTTAGTTTCGGTCAAATTTTATAAAGTTTACAACAAATGTATATTTTAAGTTTTTATTAGAATTGGTTAATAAAAAGTTTATTTTAATAATATTTTAATTTTTTTTTAAGATTGCATTGCAAATATACACTTTTGAAAATGTGTTTTATCATATTTGTCATCAAAGAGTTGCTGCTTATTCATTTTGCAGTTTATCTGAATGGTGGCTTACAAATAGCTCACGTTGGAGAGTTATTGATTATTATTTAAAACGGTGTCAAGGAAACATTAGGTTATTGGACCAAATTGATTTTATAAATAGAACAAGCGAACTGGCAAGAATATTTGGAATTTTATTCTACTCAGTTATTTCTCGTGGTTCGCAGGTTATATAACTTTTTAATCAGAATTTTTTATTTATTTCAATAGTAATAATATATTAATTTTAGTTTATGTATTATTAATGAAAATTATAAAATTTATAATTGCATTTTAATATTCATATATAATAAAAATATTTGCTATATATATTAAAAATACTGTTATAAATATGAAAAACATAATTTAAAAATTTTAATAGTCAGTTGAGTTTCATATTTTCATCAAAATTTATCACTTTTTATTAATGAAATTCACCAGTAGAAATCAATGAATATTTAGATTTAAAAATTACATTTATTTTGTTCAATTCAAAAAAGTAGTTCTGCATGACAATGTTCTGAAACATTTATACATTTAAAGTGCTGAATCATCAGAATGATATTTTCTAAAAAAAAGTTTGTAAATTTGTAAGAACAACTGGGATTCATAAATCATGAATTAGTAAGCAGCTCATAATACATTTTTCACACATGGCTGTAATCGGCTATGGTACCAAGAGATACATAAGAGCTTAGTAATGATAGAGTGTTTCAATAATGCTCCCCCTCTATTAATAATGCTCCCCTCCCCTCCCCTCTATTAATAAACCTTCATTAAAGCGAGACAGAAAGTTTTTCAAGTGTTAAAAAGTTATTATTGTTAATGGCAATGACGAAAACAATATAGTAGCACAAAATATATATAGCCTAATGAACAATTAAAATTGGCTTTTTAATGTTACTAGTAAACTAAATTAATTTTACATGAATGATTTAGAATTCCAGTTCCTTCATAACTGTTGACTATTGATTAACACAGTAAATTTCACATACCTATAAAATTTTACAAAATTAAAACCATGTTTCAACATAACGCAAACTAATAAAATATTGACAACTAAAAAAAAAAGAATACAATTAATTTTGAATTTATAAAAAATTATAAAATGATTTAATTTTAAAGTAGTTAAAATCACTTACATGAAAATTTATTAAAATTTGATTTGTGAAAATAATGAAGTGACTATTAAAACTAAAAACAAATCTGATAATTTAAAAAAATGCAGAAATATGCATCAAAGGACTAGACCGAGCTGTCAAAGTCAAGTGAAATTAGGAAAAATTTAGGAAAAGAGAAAGAATAAAATAATTAAAAATATATATTGAATAATATATATGTTCAGAAAAATATAAAAATATATATGTTCATAACAAAGACACTATAGTAAAGCGTGTAGTAAAAAATGTTAATATTAATTTTCTGGATTTTTAAAATATGACCTGGATGATCTATGGAAATAGTTTCTTTCCATAAAATATTGTGCAGGAGTTGTACCTTACGGAAAGTCAATAATTGTTAAAATGAGATAATTTAACATGATTTCTAACCAGTGTTGCATGCTACAACATTGTTGCATGTTTCAACATGTTCTAACCAGTGTTGCATGTTCCATTTCTAACCAGTATTGCATGTTCCTGGTGTGCCACCAGGGTTTTACATCAATTGATTATGCCAAACAGCATACCTTTTGGAAAAAAAGTGAATAAACTATAGGATCTAAGTTAGCTGACATACTCAATATAACTTATAGATGACGTCTTGAGTAAATAATCTGGTTAATTTCTCTTTAATAATTATAATCTGGGATAGTATTACTTCGTGCTAATATAATGCATTCCTAGTTGTTTAGCAGCATTTGGTACATTTTGTAGATGATTAATATCTTATCTTTTATTTCTATTACAATTATTTTCAACTCCTCCACATTGTCCCATATAGGTTTAAATTAATTCTTTTTTTAAATTATTAATTATTTTTAATTAATAATTTAATTTTGACGAACATTAGTTTCAACTTTGTTCTTTCTAGTTGATAACTTTTATTTGAAAGTCATCTATTAGTATTTCTACTAATAACTTTTTCAAATTTAATATCGTACGTTTGAATAATATCGTAATAATTTTTAATATCGTACGTTTTTTAATTTTTAATATCGTACAAATTTAATATCGTACGTTTGAATAATATCGTAATAACTTTTTCAAATTTAATATCGTACGTTTGAAAACATTTCAACTTTACTATTATCATTAAACACATTAACAGTAGTATTACTATTGTAGTAACAAATAAACATAAAAGAATTTTTAAAATTTCAATCTTTTCTATACAATTATTTACTACTTTTAAATGCTTACTATAGCGTTCATAACGTAGTGTTTGTGTATATTATTTACTCTAAGTGAACAAAAGAATAAAATAAGTAACTTTCTTAAATTGTAAATATTTAAAAAAATAAAACTAAATTAAACAATTAGAAGCAAAATTAATATATAAAAATAATATTCTAAAGTTGCAAAAACATTTTTTAGATCTCTTAAGAGATCCTTAGAAATCTGTAAAGAGATAAATAACAAATGATAATATTTAAATGAAAATAAACAAAAACTTGCATAATAAAGATAGTATTAGGACATTATTAACAAAGGTATTATTTACTTAAAACAAAAACACAATTTTAAGTTTTATTATATTTTTTTTAGCTATAAAACTTTTATAAAACTGTTTAAAAAAGCAATGCAAAGTATCTTTTGTAAAGTGATATATTAAAAACAAAATCAAATGCAATTTCTTTAGAAAATATATAATATAAACATAGATATATAAACCTCAACAGTTGAACTCGTTTAACAACTGGTTTAAATTTAAGGTCAATACAAAGAAATAATCTTATTAAAACTTTCAAGAAAACGAAAAAAAAAAAATTATTTCATTTTGATTTAAGATTCATTAATAAATCCATATTTCTTTATAAGTTTATATAGATAACTGTATAATATACTTATAAATTATATAAGTTACAAATTACTACAACAAAAAAATGAATAAAAAACTGATTGTGAAATGAACTTAGATATTTATCAGAAATAAATAGCAATATTAATAACATCAATTATTTTTAGTTTAACAAATAATGCAAACTAAATAATGCAATCCACAACCGTGTTAAAAATATGAGGCAATGTCAGTCTGTATATTATAATCTAAGGTAATAAAAAAGATGAGTTAAAAACAAATTTAACAAATTTTAACAATATAAAATATAAATAAAAAATAAAAGCATAACATTTTAAACAATGAAACTTGGAGAGGCATTCTCAATTTTTTTCAAGTACTTTCTGTAAAAAAATTTTATTTTTATATTCCTTGCTACTTTTTTGAAAGAAAATATACATAGAGATACAGAGAAATATAAATTATAGTGAAATATAGACACATTTATGTATATAAACATTTCAACAAATAATATTTGTTATTTGTTTACAAGTTTATCAGTCTTAATTTATTTCGTGTTAAAAACTTAAACAAATTCCAACTTAAAATAAAACTGAATAGTAAACTTACTCATATCAGAATCAGTTTGACTGTTTGAAATTTTATTTTTGTTGAGACTTCTAATGACTAATATATATTAAAAAAAAAAAAAAGTTATAACATTATATATATATATCTTTAATTTAAATAATCTTACTAATTTTTATGAATTTAGTTTCGAGTCGAATCAATGATGTTAAGAATTGCAAAGCCAATGAACTTCATTCCTATGTCACCTAGTCCTCATCAAAGAGCAAGGTTTTGTAATTGTGGAAAACTGTTTAATTAGATATAATTCAAGTTTAGATTTTTTTTTTTTTTTAATCATAATTTTATCTAATGTTTATGCGTCATAATTTATAAATAAATTTATAGTTTTATAATTTATAAATATTTTTATAAATATGATCATAGAAGTTTGGAAGCCTCCTCAAAACTTTAATGTTTAACTAGTCTTAAAACATTCAGATATTTGGCAAATAAATTTTTGAAAAAAAATGGATATCTATTCCAAAGTGTTTTATAAGATGCTTTTTTTTTTTTTAGAATGTCTGCTCCCGAGTGTATTCCACTAGTTATGGAGCCAGAATCACGTTTTTATGTTGATCCTGTAATTGTATTAGATTTTCAATCATTGTATCCATCTATTATAATTGCATACAACTACTGTTTTTCGACTTGCATTGGAAGAGTTAAACTTTGTGCAGAGTAAGCTGAATTGCTAAAAAACATTCTTTTTAATTAATTTTTTAAACTCAAAAATTTTCTAAACTTAACTGTTTTTTAAATTTATATGCAAATTTTATTTTTTTAAATCTAACTATTAAAATAACGAAAAACTAACATTTAATTTTAAGTTGATACACATGAAACTTTTTGCATATTGTAAGTAGGAAAAAAAAAAAAAAAGAGAAATGAAGGGAAATGAAAATACAAGAAAACAAGTTTTCTGCTTGGTTTAGGATCTTTTACTTCAAACTTATGTTTAACGATTGTTCAGGACAATATCGACAATCTTTGTAGACCTAAAGAACCACTGAAGATTTGTGCATAAAATGAAATCAATCATTTTAAATTATTATCACCAAAAAGATTGTGCCTGTTGTTAAAGTGAGCAAGGTTTAGCTTTTAACTCAAAAATAAAGCTACTTTAAATGCAAGATGTCCATCTCTTGAAGAAATCTTTGAATATGGAAATTAGGAATTCAATCCTAAAAAGTGGAAGGCAAAAAAATTCATTTTTTTGCCTTCCACTTTTTAGGATTGCAAAAAAATTCATTTTTTGTCATTTTCTATGACAAAAGCATAGGTGAAAAATATTCTGAAGTTTAACAAATTAATTTACTTTTAACTCGCTAAATAAAAATATTAAAGGTAGATTTATTTATTATGATTTTGATAAAAACTATTTTGTTTAAAAGAATTTGATTTAAAAACATTACAAACAACAAAAGTTTTCAATATAATCATTTTAAAGTGTTTTGAGCCTCTAGAATGTGAAGTGTTTAGTTTTAAGTAATTATTTAAAATTTATTTTGACAAGGTGTTGTACCTTTTTATATAAGACATATTATTCTTTAAAATAAAAGTTGTCTATTGATTAAAAAAAGTAAGATTGGGAACGTGAACACACTGGCTAAGTCAGAACCAGTGCAATAAAAAGTAAATTAACATAAATTGTCAGTTGGCTTTGTCGAACCATCTCTGTAAGAACCATACTTATTACGATATATGTATCAGTTTTAAGATTATCATTACAATACTTTAATTTAATATAACCAACATGTATATTAAAGTCATTTTAACATAACAACACATAACAGCATAAATTAGATTCAAGAATAAAATACTTTACCTTTTGCATTATTTATCTCTGACAACAGTCAGTATTTTAGTTCTTCTTTTTTTTTTGACAATAGTAATTCATTATTTTATTGATGTTGCAGACAAAGATCTGTTGATTTTTGTATGCAAACACTGACAGAACCCAATGGGTCTTTTACTATCTCTAAGTTTGTAAACAATTACAAACTTAGTGATGGTAACATTTTACCATCACTAAGTTTATAAACAATTTCTATGCATCAATCCTTTAAGATTGATTTAGTCAATTTTAGGATGTGTTAATGCAGAAAGAGATTCTGGTTGACTAAAAATGTTTTTTTTAGTAAACCAGAGATGGTTTTTCCTCAGCAGTTTAATAGAGAGACAAACACTTTATTTTTAACTTTTATTATTGTCACATAAAACCATAAACACGTTAGTTTTCATTCGCAGTTGAATTCATCCAAGTAGAATTTTAATTACTTCGTATAGTTTGAATCATAACAACATACTAGAATCATGTAAACTAAAATCAAAGAAAAAGAATTTAATCATAATGCTAGTATTTGTCTGGTTGATTAACAGATTTCCAAAAAAGTTCTTTACCATGGTGAGTTATATCGAAGTTATATCGCTTCATTTGCTATTACAAAGACACTTCCCGTTGTCAATCAGCATGTTTGCTAAAAACACATAGAATAAAATCTTAATTTAGATAATTTATGATGTCAATTTTTGTAGATTAGAAATACTGGGAAGCTGGTAATTGTTTATATCGTTTGTAAAGTGTTTTCAAAATAGCAAAATATTTTAAATAATGAATATTAATGTCTGAAAATTACAATTTGTCAACAATACTGAATACTTTCGTAGAAGATACATTTTTTATAAACAATTTTTTCATATAAATTTTTTTTTTTTTTTTGATAGTTTAATATTAGTCAATTATCTAATATAGCTTAAACTAAATTAAGCATTTCTTTAAAATAGTTATGGTTTTTATAAATTTTTTACATAGCATAAGCATCAACAATGATTTGTCTCTATGTTAAACTTTATATTAAAAGAGAGATTTAGTATACGCTTATAAAAAATGCATATAAAAAAAAATTAACAAAGTTTTTTAAGATAATAATTTAAAGAAAACTAGTCTTACTTTTTTAGACCACAATAAAATTTGGTCTAAAAAAGAAATTTGGTCAATTCAAAACAAGTTTCTATTAATCTCATTTATAGACAACTTTTAACCAGTAAATTGTTTAGTTCTGGGTTTTTTTTGAGATAAAACTAACTACATTGTTTAAATGCAAAGAGTCATTGGCAATAAATGTTTCAAGTTAAACGGCTTGCAAATTTCTTGCACTGGACTGGTAAATACTGATTTTGGTAGTGGTGCAGTGGGTACTAGGTTGAAACTAACACATTTAAAAACAGAAAATGGAAAAATAGTTCTTTTTTTTACCATAAACATTTTTTTTTTGAAATTTAAAGTTCAAGTTTGAGAACATACATATATATTTGATATCAGGAATGTTACTTCTTAAAAAAGCAAACAGCCATATCTTTTTTTAATTTTTTTGTAATCTGTAAACATCAAACTTTTTTGTTCTACAAATAGTTAGCAGAACAATTAGTAACACTTAAATTAAAGTAATAATCAGTTCCATATCAATAAATATTTTCTTTTCTAATTTTAAGCTAATGTATATGAACTGTATTAACAATCATCTGCAAAACTTTCTACTACTAATTGGTCTCTACTACTCTACTACTAATTGGTCTCTGCTATTAATTGGTCTCTACTACCCTTCTACTACAAACCATTCTGCAAACCGTCCTGCTACTAATTGGCTTCTAATTTCTAATTCTTATGAATCAAATTTACTAAAGTTTATACTTTTTATTTGAAAAAAATTAATTTTGATAAAATTTATTTATTTTGAATAAATAAAATCTCTGCCATTTTTTATTTGAATGTGGAAAAAAAACTTTTCCTGGCAATAAACTGTTTTGTAGATTAAAACTATAACTAATTATAATTATAATTAATTAGAATTAATTAGAAAATTATAATAAAAATAAATCAAAATAAAAAAATTTTATTTATAAAATTAAAAAAATGGTCTAGACAAATTAAGATTAAAAACTTTTCTTATTGTTTTTCAGAAATGAGCTGTTCAACTTCGGTGCAGCATCTTTAAATCTTCCATTTCATGTGTTACAAGTATGAACTGTTTTTTTTTTTAGTTTTTGAGTTTTGTATTTGGTCATTTGAATTGTTTTTTCTTAGAAGACATACCTAAAATATCGAAATGGTTTTTTTAGGAACTTTTAAATGATTCGAATGTTCATATTTCTCCAAATGGTGTAGGTTTTGTCAAGAAAGATGTCAGAACCGGAATTATACCAAGGTTTATTGAATTAGCATTTTTTAGTGTATTAGTTTTATTGATTATATTTTAGTTGGATTTTAGTTGGACCCAAGTACACACTTAATTGCACCTAAAATATAATTAAAAAATAATAATAATAATATATATATATATATATATATATATATATATATATATATATATATATATATATATATATATATATATATATTTATATATATATATATAATATTATATATATTATATATATATATATATATATATATATATTATATATATAATATATATTATATATATATATTATATATATATATAGAAATATATATATACATATATATTCATACATACATATATATATATATATATATATATATATATATATATATATATATATATATATATATATATATATATAAACATATATATAAACAAATATACATATATATGTTTATATATATTATATATATATATATATATATATATATATATATATATATATATATATATATATATATATATATATATATATATATATATATATATATATATATATATAATATATATATATATATATGTATAATATATATATATATGTAATATATGTATAATATATATTATATATATATATATAATATATATATATATATAATATATATATATATATATATATATATAATGTATATATATATATATATATATATATATATATATATATATATATATATATATATATATATATATATATATATATAATATATATAATATATGTAATATTATATATATATATAAATATATATATATATAATATATATATATATATATATATATATATATATATATATATATAAACATATATATATATATAAACATATATATGTGTATATAAACATATATATGTATATATAAACATATATATGTATATATAAACATATATATGTATATATAAACACAACCCTCGGAATTAGGGTCGGCACTCAGCAATGCTGACCTTAAAAATTGCCAACCCAAATTTTTATAATTTCGAGGGTTGTAAACATATATGTGTATATATATATAAACAAATATATGTGTTTATATGTGTATATATGTATATATATAAATATATAAATATATAGAATGTTAGACGAAATTTTATTGACTCGTGTAATGGTGAAATCATCAATGAAAAAAGCTAAAGCTAATAAGGTTGTTTATTTGTTTGTTTTTAATGATTTTTAATTTTGTGAATTCATAAACATAGATTTATTTCAATTTATTTCAGAATTTATAGTTTGAAATTCTAATACTTCGATAAACAAAATTAAAATTTTTTTGCTTCAGGTGCTTTATAAACTATTGGACTCTCGGCAGTTAGGCTTAAAATTAATTGCTAATGTAACATACGGCTATACAGCAGCTAATTTTTCTGGCCGAATGCCATGCATTGAGGTGCGTTTGTTATGTTTTTATTGTTGTGGTGGTTAAATTTTAATTTTTTTCATAAACATTTTTAGTAAAGAATTATTAGTAAACATCCTCTGCTACTTTTTGAAAGTTTTTTGTGAATTGTATCATGAAGGTTGGAGATAGTGTTGTAAGAAAAGGAAGGGAAACATTAGAGCGAGCAATACATTTAGTTAACTCTACAGAAAAATGGAATGCTAAAGTTGTTTATGGTGATACTGACAGGTTGTTTTTTTTTTATAACAATCATTTTAAAGAAATGGCTTACATGAAGAAACTTATAACGCCTTGTTAAGTTTAACTTTATACCAATGTTTTTTAAATCTAACAAAAATAATAAATTTTTAGCTTGTTTGTTTTGCTAAAAGGTGCTTCAAAAGAAACTGCTTTTGCTGTTTCAGCAGAAATAGTAGATGCGGTTACAGCACTAAACCCAAAGCCAATAAAATTAAAGTTTGAAAAGGTGAGGTTGATGATAAAATTTACATTTAAAAAGATTGATGATAAAGTTTACATTAGTTAAATCTCATTTTTATTATTTTTATTATTTTTTTACCTGCATCAGGTTTATCAGCCTTGTTTTTTGATTACAAAAAAGCGCTATGTGGGTTACATGTATGAAAGTCTTGACCAGAAGGTACCTATATTTGATGCCAAAGGTATTGAAACAGTTCGAAGAGATAATTGCCCTGCGGTTGGTAAGGTATAATTTAGTAAATATAATTTTATATATATATACATGTATATGTGCTTGCATGTATGTATGCATACATATGTTTGTGTGTGTTTGTTTACTTAAAGTATGTGAATCCTTTAAATTTATATGAAATCAAAAGTAGTACTTGTTTTATGCTCACATTATTTTGTTTTGGGTTAATGGTTATTTTATTTTAGATTGATTGATGAATAATTATTGTAGTTAAAACTCCTCAAAGTTTTTGTGCATAAAAAATAAAAAATGGAAAAAATACATAAAAAAATAAGAAATGGATTTTATTTTTTATTAGTTAATATATAATAAATGACACATAAATTATTAAAAGCACCTGTTTCATTCGTTATATACCTTTTTTTTAACATTTATGAGTGAGCAAACAATAAAGTTTTTGGTTTTACCAAGTGCACATCCAAAGTCAAATTGACGTTGTTTTATTTTACAACCATATATAGTCTGTTTTGATCAATTTGATATCAAAAAAAAATTAATTTGATGTCAGGTTTCAATTGGGGAGGTGTACGCCTTTTAAAATAAACACAAAATAGATTAAAATGTTGAAAATCGGACAATATAGGGTTTTTTCAAGTTTCTTAAACTTGTTTCTGAAATTTTTTTTTAAGTTTTAAAATTTTTTTAGTGTCTCAGTGTCTACACACAACTAGGGAATGTTGTTTATGAAATTCATAAATTTGGCATTCCTAATATGAATGCCAAATTTTTTTGTTTCAACGCGCAACTATAAAATGTTGCTATGAGTACCAAATTTTTCATAAATAAAAACTGATAGAAAATTTTTATTTCCAAATTATAAAACCTATAAAAAATCTAAATAACTAACCAAACAAGTGCTTTTTATTTTTAATGCGTCATTTGTTAAATATTATAAAGTTAAGTTATAAGTTTTAAAAATTTTTCACCAACCAATTTAAAACATAATAATCTTGTATTTTTACTAAGTTTGATGTAAGATGATCTAAACGATAACATTAATTACCTACTGTAGAACTGTATTTTTGAAATTCGTTTGTAGAGCTATTGCTAACTCACTTTTCTTTTAAGTTTGGTTTTTTCAGATTGGTCTTTATGTTGTTGCGTGGAGAGCCCTTAGTAATTAGAGAGATATTAGTAAATTATTAGTAATGGAGAACCTTTTAGGTTTTAGAGAAATCTTTACGTATACTCTTTGAAAAAAATGACTTGAGTTTGGTAAAAAAATACGTACAAAATCAATTCGTTAAAATTATGGAAGGAAATGTCATTTTGCGTGACTTCATTATTGCTAAAGAATACCGTGGTTTGAACAATTATAAACCCGGGGCTTGTGTACCTGCACTAGCGCTGACAAGGTTATTTTAGCTACTTCGTATTTTACTTTATTTTTTAATTTCATAAATAGTGAATTTAAATGTAGTACCTAATGTTTCAATTGTTTTAAAAAATTTAATATTTTATCCAAATAAAGGAAACAGTTAAAACTAGATCGTCGTGCAGAGCCTCGTATTGGCGAGCGAGTACCATATGTAATTTCTCACGGAAGTCCTGGATTAACATTGATTCAATTAGTTCGAAGGTATCAAGTATCTTGACTAAAAACTAGTTACCCTTAAGGTCAAAACTTCTTACCGATTGATTTTTTTTTACATGCTAAATTATTATACTCATATTTATATTTAGTCCCATGGAATTGATTCATAATAACAATTTACGTTTGAATGAAGCGTACTACATTACTAAGCAGCTATGCCCATCATTAGATAGAATATTCTCATTGATTGGGGTGAATGTAGCAAAATGGTGTGTGTGTGTTTTTTTAATCTTGTTAAGTTATTCACTTTAATTTTTTATTTCAACTGTAAATTTAAATGAAAAATTCATTAAAAATTTTTTTTAATTTTAAAGTTTCAAATTTCTCGGTCAATTCAGGTTTGTTGATTTACCTCGAATAACGCGTGTCAATGATCGTGAATTCGAATGTGATGACAACAAAAAAGTTTTAATTTTTTTAAATTTATTACTATTACCTGATGTTTTTTTTTTTAATTTTTGTATTTTTATTACACCTTATCATTCTTGTTTAAATGTTTTTCTTATTTTGTTTTAAGGGTATGATTTCGCATTACTTTTCCAGTAACCACTGTTTAATTTGTTCACAATTAACCAACCATAAAGTATGTATTGATTGTCGAAATGATTCTCAACGTACCGTCTTTTTTCTTAACTCTAAGTGTAGAGCAATTGAGCGTCGTTACATACATTTTACTACGGTAACTTTTTTATTACTCAAAACATTTAAAATTTATATTAAAATGTAGTTGTATTCACTCTTAATTGGTCAACAAAAATGCTGATCAAATTTATTTTAGAATATGTGTGCAAGTCAAAAAAACGCCAATAAATTAATAAGAATAAAGAAAAAGAATTTTGAAAAATATATTTAATTTGATTAATTTTATTTACTTTGTTACTGTTTTACTTAAAAACACTTGACGTTTTTATTACTTTTTATCTAAGAAAGTAGTTAGAGTCTTTGATTTATTTTCTCTAAAGATTAGACTTTTATAACAAAATTTATCTATAATTTATAATATTTTTTAAATTCAATTTAATAAAATTTTCTTTTATGTAACTTAATAATTAAACTCTGAATCTTATTACTGCTTTTATTTTAGCTGTGTCAGCATTGCACAAGTACTCGTTTTCTCCAATCAAACTGTGTATCTTTAGACTGTCCAATTTTCTTCAAACTTTCAAATATATCCAGAGATCTTCAAAGAACTAAAGAAGTTCGCCATATTATTTCAGAATTTTAAAAAATATTTAATTTGATGCTTGTAATTATTCTCACATACATAAAAATGTTAGCAACTTTATATTATTATAGATTCATCCGTGCGTGTTATACCTTATGAAATAAGTTAAAGATTTAAACGCCCCCATTAAAATGTTATATTAAAGATGACATTTGTAAAAAATAACGCATTCAGTTTTTTGGCGTGTGGGTCTCAATTATTTACAAAAGGTTTTTATCTCCGAGTGTGCGAGTTAGACTTATATTAAAAACCCTGCAACCGAAAGACTCGTATAATGCATTTAGTGTGTTAGGATTTTAAGGCCTTGCATTACTCGCGTTATTTAAACTTTACTCGAATCCTCAATGCAAAAAAAAAATTAAGCATGGTGTGGGGTTACATGTCGGGTATCGGTTTTGGTTGTCTGTATAGGTGTGTGGAGACAAGATCTGCATATTCAGATCTTACAACTTCACATGTTACCTTCCTCTGTAGATCTTTTTTTGCAGAGGTGGTCAGTTTACTTTCATGTATGATAATGCTCACAAGGCAAAGAAAGTCAAAAAGAGGTTTTTGTACTGGACTGGCCACCAGTGTCCCAATATGAATCCAATCGAGAATCTGTGGGAAGAGTTTTTTAGGAAAGTCACGAAAGCACTCTAAGAACACTTGATGAGCTCAAAGCTTAAAACAGAAGGCTCTTTCTCAGATTACGATTGACCGACCGATTCTCAGATTGACCGATCAGATCAGACGATTGACCGACCGATTCTCAGATTGACCGATCAGATCAGACGATTGACCGACCGATTTCTACCATGTCTAAGTTAATGCATTCAGAGATTAAACCCGGTGGATGAAATATATATTAATCAGGTATTCATATTTTTATGCATTTTACTTCTTGTTTATGTGTATAATAAATTTAAAAAGAATTTACAGCAATCTAATATGAACTTGTTCGCGTTTTGTACCATAAACAACAAAAAATTTTAAATTTACTTGTTGTTTGCTTACTTATTGGAAGGTACTGTATATGCGCATGGATAATCTGAATGTTCTCTTTCTTTTAACAAATGTCAAAAAAAACTTTTCTCAGTACAAATAATAAACTTAATGGTTTTTTGATTGCAATTGATTGCTTGTTCTGCATATTGATTTGTTCTGGGAATTTCCAGTCTCGTCGGTTCCTAATTCCAAATCTTTTTCACTAAGTTTAACGCTTTTTCGTGACCGTGCGAGCTACTACATAGCTTCCTGCATTGTATCTGGTCAGTAATCGTTTGCGTTATACATTTGGTCAGTAAAATAATGGTCCACCCATCTGTAAGAGATAAATCTAGAAATGTTCAGTAGAGCGTCCTTCTCTCAAGTAGAAGAATAAATACTGAAAGAGCTAGTATTGCTCGAGAATTTCATTTTGCATTATTTAATTTAGGCATTTTCTAAAACTTTACTTTAGAAATACTTTAGGTTCTTAAAAAATCATCCTGAAAATAAAAAAGAAATACTTTAGGTTCTTAAAAAATCATCCTGCTGTTTCTATAATCACTTCTTTATTATTCCTGAAATCCTTCCTGAGCTACTCGTAGTTCTTTACAAGTTTCGGAATAAACTGACTTTCAATGTTTAGCAACATGTTTTTTACTCCAAGTTCTTCATCTATTACTGCGCGAAGGACTCGGTCAAGAATATGATTTTGACAACCAATTAACTGTGGTTCTTCCAGTTTTTTTTGTAAGAAAATCATATCTTCTTATAGTGTTTACATTCGTAGTGTCCGCTACAATCATTTTTATACTATCTATAAATTATATTCATTGAAAATAGCTGTTAACAACAGTATCTGCTTTCCGTCTGGTAAATATAGTGACTTCTCTTTGTATATTTTTTATTACTAATATTTGGTATACTTAGTGACTAATACGTTTAGCATTAAAGTGCAGAAAACAGCATTCTAAATGTATCATTTTCTTCTTTAAGTTTAACAGCTACTTTAATAGTTGATCTAAATATACTAGACTGTAAAGGTGTCTAAATGTCGATCCCATCTTGAGATAACTGTTGAGAAGCGGTTGCTGCTTTGCTGGTTGATAACTTTGAAGATGTTACTAATTTAGTTGTAGTTTTGGTTTTGCTGTAGTTCTTGCTGATACATGTTGACTGTTTTTCTGATGTTAAAATAGGCTTCAACGGCATTTTTTTCTTTTGGATGAATTGTTTTTAAAGTAGCAGCCTTCCCATTTGTATACCCTACCTATCCTTTGTTTTCAATCTGAAGGTGATATCTAAAGATGAATCTTTTATCCTCACTGCATAGCTATTTGCCATCTTTTTTTTTGTGATGATAAAAACTTAATTTAATTGATCGTATTTTCTTTGTTTTACACTTATCAGTTAAAATATGCTATCAATGTGCGTTCTGTAATGCCAGGAAAAAAATTTAAACGTAAAAGATAATCACAGAGTTTCAAAAATTTACGTCTAATGAAAAATATTTTCATTAAAATGTTATAAGACAATGATATAAGACAATAATAAACAAAGTATTTAGAAACATATAAGTCTACATCTATGTTTTTGCAGAAAAAAATAGTGTTTTATGTTAAATGAGAAAATTCTGTTTTATGTACTATCAAACAGAGGCGGTTGCAGCTTTTTTTGGTGCTTGTTAACATCCAGACATTAGTTAAACTACAAACATTTATGTTTGGATGTTTAGTTAGTAATTTTTTATTTAAATATACTTAAATTTATTTCTAAAACTTCACTTATGTCAAAAAGGATACTGAAAAAACTGCGATATTTGGATCCTGGAAACAAAAAACTCAAAAATTTTCTCCGTCCCAAACGTTAGCGCAAAAACGTTGATAAAATATTGTTTTTACTATTCTAAACTAAATTTATACTCATTGATAAGTTTTAAGTTTTATAGTATAAACTCTGAGCGTTCTGAAATTATGACCATATTTAAACCCCCTAAATATGAGGGGGTTACAATGATCGCAATTTTTGGAAAGCATCCTTATTTTGTTATGGAGTTTGCTCCATTTTTGAATGTTAGCTATCTCTAACACCAAAAAAATACTGGAGCCGCCTATGCTGTTCCATGAAATATTTGAACAGTTAATGAAACAATGTATTATGCCAAAATATATTTCAAACTTTGGGAAGTGAGAAACCGTGTGATAAGTTTTCATTTACAAAAATTTTTTATGAATTTAATGTACAACTGCAACCAATATGCTCACAATAAAAATGGTTAACATAAAGGATTGAAGTAGAAGAAAAAACTTGCGTTTTGATAGTTCAACTGAGAGTAAGATGAAAAAGAATTGGGAAAACAAAGAAAAAAGAAAGAAACACTAAACATTAAAAAAGAAATCAAAATCAAACGAGCGCTTAGAGTTAAATTCATAGTGAAAATAAGTTTTTTCCTTCACGACTATGTGGACAAAAAATCAAATTAATAATGATTTTAAGTAGTAATCACTGATTACTAGTTAAAATCAGCATTAAAGGTGGTTATTAAAATGATTATTGTAAAATTGAAGTGAAAGTTCGTAGACTAAATGTTTTTATACTGAAGTTATGTACAATAAACTAATTTCCCACGAATTCTAACAAACTAAAAAAAAAAAATTGAAAGTACGCAATAGGGATCGAGATTTTTATTTCATTGAATAAGGAAAAAACTTTTTTTAAATACTTTTTATTTATTTAAAATCGAAAACAAAAAGATATAAGTAAAACACAAAACTGTTAAATTTATTTATAGACTTATTACTTGTTCATAAAAAGTAAATGCAAGGTATCATCCTGTAACCAGTTTCTTTTTCTATGCGAAAACAATCCGAGGCTAGAGAGCCCTTTCACAAGATCATACCATTTGAAAATCATATATTTTAGTAAAACATTTTCGGTTCTTTAGCTAGAGTCAATTCTTTGTTATAATTTCTAATATCGTTGCCATTTTTGGCTTTTTTGTTAATACCGAGTCCATCTCTTTAAGATGGAATAATCTTTGAATAAAATTAATTTGCAATATTATCTATATTAATTCTTTTTTTGTTTGTTTTCAAACTGATTACCTTGATTTAACAAATATACAACTGGATTTAACAAATATTTCATTTTTATGTACTAAGTTTCATTTTTTTTTTTCATTAATTTAATTTTTATTGATGTTATTACATTTAAGAACATATATTTTGTGTTTATTTTCAAGTGTCTTGTAATAGTGCGTGTTGAATCACATTTTGCTCGTTGCAGCTTTTGGCAACAAATGAAAATACTCCTTAACTTTAGATCTTATAGATGTGCTAACGCTGAGTAGCCATTTTTTGTTTGAACTTAAAACTCTTTATAATTTTAATTTCAAACAAATAAAAAGTGGTCAAATGGGGAAAAAAGTACCAGCCACTGTTTAACTACTTTTTAACAGGAAAAAAAACCGATCCTACTTTAAATGTGATGGCGCTACAGGTAAGGCTGTCAACTGGTACCTGGTTGCCCGGTTACCCGCCCGTTGGTTGCTGCCTGGGCAGCACTTTCAAATGACGGGTAACCGTTGTCCATGCAAAAAAACAAAATATTTCAATTTACAAATTAACAATTCTATTTATTTTTTTTAAGATTTCAATCATTAATTGAAATAAAACAATTTAACAATATGAAATTGATATGTAAAATAAGATCTTGAGGAAATAGTTCTGATTTCTTTATCACCGTTAGATTCTCTAAAAAGTTGAACAAAAACGTTCGGAAAGTAATTTAAGTTTCTGATTCGGAAACCCACCTTTTGTTCTTAACTTTATATACAATGTTTTCTTTTACGTAAATCAGAACTCCTATAACTTGTTTATTGTATGTCTTAATGACAAAATTTTATAAAAACCAAGAAGATGGAGAGTAGAATTATCTCAAAGATCTTTCAAAGAAACCCAAGTTTCAGTTTAAGCTAATTATATATTAAGTGTTTACAGTTTCTTATTAAAAAGGTACCGTAACACGGGTTACTTTGGCCAGCAGGGTTACTTTGAGCATTTTTAAAAATTTTAATTAAACATCTGTAACTTTTAAACAATTAAGTAACGTTTTACTATTTAAAATAGTAAAACGTTACTTAAATGTTTAAGAATTACAGATATTTAAAATTTAAAAAAATGGCCAAAGTAACCCCGCTGGCCAATGTTACGCTATACAGTTTTTCGAAAAAAAAATTTTGTAAAAAGGGGTCGTCCATAAAGGACGTTATTTATAATTTAATTACTAACCAGAAGAAGAAGTTGATTGGCTCCCTTGCGCGGGTATTTTTATTGAACATAAGACGCAATATTACTCGTAAAGTCTCTGCGCACAAGAGTCAACATTCTCCTACTTCTTGCCATTAGTTAATATTAAAGTGACGTCCTTTATGGATGACCCCAAAGAAGTTTTTTTAAGTGTGCGTATTAAGTTTAGTGTAAATAAATAAAATTAATATAATAAAATTTCATCAATTTGTAACCAATTAAAGTTTTGTAAAAGCCAGTTGTTGTTCTTTCATCTTTATGCCTTTAAAAAATATATATTGCTTTTTAACGGGTATCCGCCCGTTCGTTCAACGGGTACCCGGGCAAGAATTTTTGCGATTTTTCACAGCTACAGGTGATGTAATTTTGATTATACTTTTAGAGTTTCCAGACAAACACAAAACAAAAAAAAAGCAAAAATATTCAAATTTATAAGTTTTACTTATATTTCAGCTTGTTTTACAAAAATTAATGAAAAGACATGATTTTTTAAATTTAAAAGTTCGAAATATTAGGAGAAAATTTTTTGCTAAAAAGTTCGAACGTTCGAACTTGAACATGTTCGAACTAGCACCCCAACGTCGATCACACAAAAAGCCCAACCAAAGCAGCAATTGTTTAAAAAAAATTTAAACAAAAACTAGAAATAAAAATCAATGATTTTCATTACTTTACAAATATTTTAAATTTAAATATATGCAAATTTCATCGCTCTTGTCACAAAAATTTCTTTTATAAAAGCAAATTTCTAATAAAACCAAATATACTAATTTTTGTAATAAAAGTTACACTCTAGCAAAATAACTTGATTACTAAAATTGTTTTAACACAATAGTAAAAACTAATTTTAAATTTATAATACTTCAATGAAAACGTTTCAGTTGAAAAAAATTATAAGATTTTATTATTCATCTATATATTTTTTTAATAGTTATTTCTAACTGTTATAGCTTAAAATAACAAATTAGGGCAAAAATCAATGAGGTAAAGATGTCAAAGGCTATAAAGTTATATATATTGTAAATTGTCCTCCAGTTTTTATTCCAGTCGCGCATTAGCAAGGCCTGTTGTATAGTAATCTTTTCTTTAACCCAAAATAAATGAAAATTATAGAGAGGAGATTAAGAAACAAAAAAGGTACCCCCTCTCACTGCACACCACTCCAAAAGATTTACACGGGTGTTAATGCTGTCTAGTAATGTATATCTAATTGTTATTTGTAAACTTTAATTTTAGTTAGAGTTAGTTAAATTTCAATTGATTTTATCTTAAATACTTTTAAAACACAATGAACTGATTTTATTTACTTTATAAAAGCTTTTTTTTAAATTTGAAATATAATCTTATAAAACTATTAAATAACATATTTACAAAAACACAAAATTACTGTATAATATTTTGATACTGTTCTATATACAAAAACGCAAAAGCGTTTTTTCTGTAATTTACATAATTTACATTCGATTTTTGTAGATTTTTTTATGTAACTTTTTTGGCTTTTATAAATCATTAAAGAAATTATCAAATGCTATGTTCGAATAGGTGACTTCATCTTTTGACCAAGCAATGCCCTGTAAATAAAAAAGTTGAAAACATATTTTTTTTAAAAAGATGAAAATATGTGTAAGTTAAATTTTAAAAAATCACTAGTTTTAAAAAAATATATAATTATATTATTTTAATTTTTAGAACTAAAAAAAATATTTTTTGTATACTTTAACTATTTTTTAGGCGGTTAATAATATCAACTTTTCTTTTTAACACAATTTTTTTGCAGCTGAACCTTACTCTTGCATCAATAAACTAAGCATCATAGAAGCAGTACAATGTTCTATCACAGGACTATGATAGTTCCGGCATCTACCAAGTAATCTACACTAACAATGCCTCTTTTTAAAAACTTTTTCTCGTTATATTCCTTTTATGGCATTCTTCAAGTTATCAAAAACATTTTTTTAATACCAAGTTTGGCACACACACGCACAAAAAAGAAATTGTCAAAATAATTTTTTAAGCTTTTATTTTTTCAAGTGTCCTTGTTAGCCTATGCACGACATTACTGCCTATCAATAGTCCATCATTATCTTCTGCCCTTCAATAGTCCAATATTATCAGGTACCTACTTAAATAATTTTTCTAGATACATTTAAAAATCATGAATAATTCCAGATACGCCACACCTTGCCCAAACCTCGATTCTCCATTTATTAGGTATTTAAGGGAGACGTGTATGTGTAAGACATAAATTAACGTCACAAACTTTTATTCGTTTTCTTCAAAAAAATTATGTTTTTTTACCTTTTTCTGACAATTAAAGGTCAACATATAAAATTGTCAAAAGCACTCTAGAATACCAAACTTAACCTGTTACCTCACCAAACTGCTGCAAGCCTTGACCACATCCCTGGAAGTCCTCAGCATATTTCTCCAAGTATTGTTTGTCAAGATCAATGTGAAACTCATTATGAAAAATTGAGAAAAATTAGCAGCTTTTTTGACTTAAGTTCTTAGGCCTTAAGAATGCAAATTTATAATAGTTTATTCAATTTTTAGTCATGTTTACTTAGGTACATACATTAACTTAGAGGTCGGGTTAGACAGTATTTACTTAGGTACATACATTAACTTAGAGGTCGGGTTAGACAGTATTTACTCAAGTACATACATTTACTGAGAGGTCGGGTTAGGCAATATTTACACATGAAGGACATCTGTTATAACAAAAAAAAAATCATTTTTCTTCTTTTTGTGGAAAAAAGTGTGAAAATGTTATGTCTTACAAGTGAGTTTAAAAGTTCTTGAGAGTACTTCATTACCAATCAAATATCTTAAGAAACATAAACTTTATATAATAAGCTATTTGGTTTTTGGAAATCCAGAAAAACAGCAGTAAAATTATTTACAAAAAACTAACATAGCTTATTATAACTTACGTAAATTAATCAATAACTGTAATTTTGTTGGGGCATGTTAAATTGGAAAATTGACAAAATTGACCATTCTGCTCTTTTAAATAATGTACCTAACTACTATGTTAAAAATCCTTAAAAAATCCCTTCCTGAAATACAAAAAGCTTAAACCACACTGTTAATGTTATTAAACACACAGGTGTTGTAATATAATTAGGTGACAACTACACAAGCATTAATCAACAACACTGATGTTATCAAATTGGTTTTGAAATAACAAGTTGGTAATAAACATAAAAAAAGGTAAAATTAAGGCCCAAATAAATCAACTGAATTTTCAAAATTATAACAAAGGTATACAATCCAATAGACACAGTTGTTAAATACAGTTTGATAAAAAACTAAATCAAACCCTAAGTTTTATTTAAAAAGCAAAGTTTTTTAAAAAGCAAAGTTTTAGTTAAAAAGCAAAGTTACTTATTTTTGCAAAAATTTAATTCATTCAAGGGTATGAGACAACTAGAGACTGGAATTACCGAAAAACGGTTCCTTTGGTAAATTTCGGTTCCTAATTTGAAAAAAAACTGATAACTTCGGTTCTTTTCGATTCCTTATTTTAGGCAAGAATCGTTATTACGGTAAATTTCGATTCCTTATTTTAAGAAAGAATCGTTATTACGGTAAATTTCGATTCCGATTCTGATAATATACGATAACTTCGGTTCTTTTCGATTTCTAATTTTAGGCAATAATCGAAATTACCGTAAATTTTGGTTCCAATTTCGGTTCTTAGCGGGAAATATCGCAAAAAATCGAAAATGCTACAAAGAATCGAAATTGTTACTAAGAATTGAAAAACTTGAATTTTCTTAATTTTTATTTTCAAAAATACAGTTGAACTACAGTTGAAAAATACAGTTATTCTAAATCACTATCAGTGAGATCAGTGACACTGTCCTTGCTGCCATTGCGACTACTACTAGCACTGCTATAAGCTACGCTAGTAGAACTATCACTAGCTTCAGTATTAAATAAATCTTTAGATGCATCATATATAGGGTTTTTTTTCATTGGTGATTTTTTCATTGGTGATTCAAGTACAAGTTTCCTTTTTTTAGCTCTTTGTAGTAGACTTTGAGACTGTGATTCATTTGGTTTCAAAAAACTTTTCATTTTTTTCTGTTTGGTTGATTGGGTTAGTGTAGATGGAGATGGTTGAGGTTGAGTCTGAGAAGGTGATGGTAGAGGTTGAGTCTGTGAAGTTGATGATAGAGGTTGATCTTGAGAGGTGGATGGTAGAGGTTGATCTTGAGAGGTGGATGGTAGAGGTTGAGACTGATAGCCTGGTTCACCAGGGCATTTTTTGTCTCAGGACCTTATTTTTGATTTGACTAGTGGAAAGTTTTCTTTTATGAACATTATTTTTGAAGGGTCTCTGGCTTCATATTGTGTCTTTTATCACTAATAATATTTCCTCCTAATGAAAATAGCCTTTCTGAAGAGCATGAAGTCACTGGTGGACACAAGTACTTCCTTGCCATAGCAGCTAGTAATGGCAGTTCCTTTTGATTGACCTTCCACCATTCCAAAACCTTCACATCCTTAGCTGGCTTTTGCATAGACAAGTACCTCTTAAATTCCATCTAAAAAAAAATATTTGAATTTGAATTTACCGCAAAGAATCTAAAATGTGTATAAGAATCAAAAATGTGTATAGGAATCGATATTTATAAGTATCGGAAATATTTATAAGAATCGAAATTATTATTAATAAAAATGAATATCTACCTTCAGAGGAGGCTCTGATGGTCCTGCCAAAGTTGGTGCATCATTTCCATCATTTTCCATGGCCATTCTCTCAAAATCATCCATATCTTCATCTAAGTTTGGCATTGCAGAAGGTAATGAAGCCTCATAAGCCTCATTGTATTCTCTGGTAGTTGGATGATTATCTACCAGTTGGTCTATTATTCCATCTAAATGATCTTTGTTGCCCTTGATTAATGTGATAGAATAACCTCTATAAAATGGATCAAACACACTTGCAAGATTAAAGTCATTAACTTCAGTGCCTTTATCTGGAATCCTAGTTTTCAAGTATTCTATAAACCTGGTCATTGCATCTTTAGCAATTCTTGAACCTGGAAAAGAGAAAAATGAATAAATAATCAAAACTGCATAATTTGTTGATAATCATCGAAATTATTAGTAAGAATCGAAAGAATCACAAAAAAATATTTTTTACCTGAAGAATTTTGTGTAACTGTCCTATGGCACATAGTAATCAATGAAAAGAGGTGTTGCTGGATCTTGTGAACTGTAGGTGTTTTATCTGAGGACCAAATCTCTGAGTATTCTTGACATTTTGCCAAGAAAGGATGAAGTTCTGCAATTACTTGAAAATCTTCATCACTTGGTATAAGTATTGTCAAGTTTGCATTCAGGCTGTTATCTCTGACAGACTTCAAACCTTGCTCATTTCTTAACACTGACTTGAACAGCATTGCATTTGAATTCCATCTTGTTTGCACTGGTTGGATTAGCTTGATTGGATTACACCCTAGAGATTCACATTCTTGTTTGATTTCATACCAATCCTTAGTGCTTTGATGTGTCCTTTGAGCAAGTCTCTTGCACTTATCAACAATTACCTTAACCTCACCATTTCCTAATGTGTCTTTAAAACAATTGTTCAACATGTGATCAACACACACCAATTGCTTGTCCAATAAAGTTGCTAAACTGACAGCTGCCTTCATGTTAGCTGCACCATCAGTCACACATGTTCTTTCTAGGTCAGGCCTTGCCAAGACTTTATATTTTGAAATCATAGTGTCTAATCCTTCGGCAAGTAAAGGACCTGTTTTCCTATTTAAATGAGCTTGGCAGTCCAAACTGTACTTTTTCAACTCAAAATCACTGTTGATGTAATGGAGTGTGAGAGATTCAAAAGGATCACCATTTTTTGCAGTCCAACCATCTGATGTAAAAGCTACACTTTCACATTCTGGTACTTCTTCCTCAAGTTGATTGGTTATTGCCTTTTCAACATTACGATGAATCATGTCAAGCTTTGTTGTAGTAAGTGTTTTTGGTGTTTTTATGATTGCTTTTGGTGCCAAATAGTTCAAGAGCAACTTCATTCCTGGAGTTTCCACAATATTGAAAGGAAGATTTGACATGATGCAGGCCAGAGTGAGAACTGTATCAAAATCAAGCTGACAGCTGCTTTGTGAATCCCATTTAGTTATCTGAAATAATAAAAAAAATGTTAAATATCGAAAGGAATCGAAATTATTGAAATTACTGCAAGGAATCGAAATTACGTTAAACAAGACCTGACAACCTAATATATATGGGTAAGTTGTTGCAGTTTCTAGAGACAGTGCTAATCACTCTATCTATTAAAACAAAGAAGTTTAAAGTTAAAAGCCTTTAAAGTTTTGAAATGTTTGAAAAACACGTGTTTACTAAATCTACATGCACGTGTTAGGTGACAGGTCAAATCAAAAACTTTAAACCTCAATAACTTTGTTAATATTGAGTTTAGAGCAAAAAGGACATTAACTTGGAATCATTAAATTGTTGTCTAGTGTGGAAATTTAAATTTTTTATTAATTTACAGAGTTATTAAACTTTAAAGTATATTATAAATTTGGAAAAGGGCACAAAAGTTTCTAATTTAATATAAAAATAGATTTCTAACATTAGTTTCATCAAAATCAAGCCCGAATTGGTAAATTGAGAAAAAAAATATTTTCTGCATGGCCCAAACGGCGCCTAAAAGATCCAAGTTTTTTTTGAAGAAATATTTTTTCTCAATTTACCAATTTGGGCTTGATTTTGATTCGAATATTTACAAATAAAAACAGTAAAATGTTATAAAAACGATTATTTAAGCTACTAAAAAATTTCAATATTTTTCTCACCTTAACATACTCATCCAGAGTTACTTGAAGTTTTTCATGATCACCTTGCTGACTGGATGGTGGAGACTTTTTACTAAGGTTATCCAGCCTTTTTTTACTAGTGGTTGTGGCTGGAAAGAAACCTCTCAAACTTGAAGATCTATCAAGCTCCTTTTCAACTTCCTCCCTGTCAGCAGCCAGTTGCACTACCTTGTCATTCTTTGCCTTAATATAAGCTTTGGCTTGAATGGGATGCTGAGATCTGTATAAAAAAAGATTTAAATTAAATAATTATAGGGATAGGAATCGAAATTACCGAAATAATTGAAAATATTGAAAAGAATTGAAAAAATTGAAATAACTCCTATAGATGGCGCTATATTAAATTAAATGTAACAAACAGTATTACTGTTAGCTGTTACTGTATAATAAATAATAATCAGTGCTTATGTTTATTTAATTATTCAGAACTATTGTTATATTTTTATTTTTTTATAAAGTAAATCTTTACTTAATATTAACTTAAATTGCAAAAATTCTGAAAATATTGAAAAGAATCGAAATTACCGAAAAAATTGAAAAAACATTACTTACCTTAAATGTTACTCATTCCTGATGTACTTCCATGGCAGCAAGTTAACACTGCTTGACATTGATTACAACTTGATTTATAAGTTTTCTTTTTGGTGTCAGAATTCACTGTCACTTCTGGTAGTTTGGTAAAGTAATTCCAAATTGCATTATTAACTTGAGACATTATTGTAAATTGTTGTAAAGAGTTGTTTGTGAAACAATAAATTGTAACTGATTAGATTTTCACAAAACCCCACTATCTATACTGGTAAAGGGGAATCCCTTAGGGGAGGGAAATTAAATTTGAATGAATTTGAATTTAATTTTGCACGCCATTATTAAAACGTATTTGTAATAAAAACGATTCTTTACAATAAAAAGGATTTTTTAATTAATAATTGAAATTTACCGTTTTTATTACAAAGAATCGAAATTACCGAAAATATTGAAAATATTGAAAAGAATCAAAAATATTGATTATAACGGAAGTATATTATTAAAAAAAAGGTTAGTAATCAATTTACGGTTCTTTTCAATTCCTATTCTGATAAAGAACCGATAACTTAGATTCTTTTCGATTCATATTTTGATAAGGAACCGATAACTTCGGTTCTTTTCGATTCCTTTTTTATAAGGAACCAATAACTTCGGCTCTTTTCGATTCCTATTCTGATAAGGAACCGAAACCTTCGATTCCTTTCGATTCCCGAAAAATACCGAAGAACCGAAGAACCGTTTTTCGGGAACTTCAGTCCTTAGAGACAACCAAACAGAAATTTAAAAAATCTGATGGTTGTCTCAGCTGTTACATTATTTAACAGGAGTTTTAATATTTAAACATTTTTTAATAAATTTATATCAAAGAGAAAACCAATCCAAAGTCTAAAAACTATATCTAAGCAGCCAACTTTTTATCATAACAAATATTATATATATATATATATATATATATATATATATATATATATAAATATATATATAAATATATATATATATATATATATATATATATATATATATATATATATATATATATATATATATATATATATATATATATATATATATATATATATATATATATATATATATATATATATATATATAAACAGAATGTTTAATCGCATTTAACTCACATGGAAGAATTTGTGATTAGGTATGACACAACATTTTGTATTTTTGCTTTAATGAAAACAATTTGTTTTAAACTATGTTTAATATGCATTTCATTTCATGTGTCAACAATAACATTACTAAAACACTTTCTTATATTTAAACTTTCTTGCATTTATTTTTCTTTGGTTTTAACTTTTAACCTTAAATTTTTTAATGCTAAATCACCTCCTTGAGGCAGAGAAGGCCACTACAGAAAAGGTTACTTAATTGTGGTTATAACCCCCTCTCAACTCCATAACTCTGAAACACGAACCTTGACGAGCAAGGCCCCTGCGCAGAGAAACAAGTTGAATGAATGTAAAAATGTAAATAAATGGTTTTAAGAAATAAAAATATTTCAAAACAAAGATTATAATAATTGGGTTGGTAATCTTGAGGATAAAAAATAAGACAATTCAAAAAGCTTAATAAACTTTTGAGTTAACCTTGCTACTATGACTATTAAAAAAACTTAATAACATGAAATAAAATAATTTGTTTACCCTAGAGCAAAAGCTATAGTGTGTGTTATAAATAAAGTTGAGATATAAAATGTGTTCGAAGTAAGAATGCAAATGCCCCTAAAACCAAATAAAAATATAGCATTAAACTAAAAACAAAAAAGCATGAAAAAATAAATAACACAACAAAATTTACAAACCGTTTCACAACCTTAGAACCTCTTAAACTGCAATATTTTCTAAAATCAAATTAAATAAAAGTTAAAAGTAAGTCAAGTATTAAGTATGTTAAAAAAATTAAAAAAAAAAAATAGAATGAAAATAGTTACTTGTGTTTATTTCTTTCACTATTTGAATTTTCACATTTGGACATCCATTCTGAAACACTCTCTCTCTAAAATAAAAAAACAACAATTTTAAAATTGAAACAAAAAAAAGAGGATTGCCATTCATTAAAATAGGAATGTTGACCATATTACGGTAGTTGTTTGCAGTAAACAACTGGGTTTTTTTAGAGTTGAAATTCACAAGCCACTGTGAACCCCAATCTATTATTGAAGTGAGATTGGATTCAAGATCAGCTGCTTGTTCTAGGCGATCAAAAAGAGAAGACTTTTTGTCAAGACAAGAGTATAAAGTTGAGTCATCAGCAAAAAGAGCTACTTTAGATGAAAGGTTGTCAGGAAGATCGTTTATGTATATAAGAAACAAAACAGAGCCCAGGATGGAACCTTGGGGAACCCCAGAAGTTACTGGAAATAAAGAAGAGTGTTGGCCTTCAAGGATGACTTTAATAAACCGGTTAGAAAGAAATGATTTGATAATCTCAAAAACTTTCCCAGAATTACCATATGAAGCAAGCTTATGGAGAAGACCAGCATGCCAAACTTTGTCGAAAGCTTTAGATATGTCGAGAGCAATAGCCCTAGCCTCACCGCCTCCATCTGATGCACGATAAAATCTTTCAGTTACAGCACTTAGCAAGTCGGCCATAGAGCGAGAGGATCGAAAACCGTATTGATTGTCTGACAAAAGTTTATTTGACTCAAGATGAGATGTGAGGAATTTGTTGATTAAAGACTCAAAGACCTTGCTAATAACAGAAAGAAGACTGATCGGACGATAATTGGAGGGGTCAGAATTTTCTCCAGAGTTTTTGAATATTGGAACCACAGATGCCATTTTCCAACAAGCAGGAAAACAAGACTCAGTCAAACACTTGTTAAATAGTTTAGAGAGAATTGAAGAAAGTTCTGGAGAACAATTCTGCAAGACTGTGACAGGAATGTTGTCAGGACCACAAGCTGTAGACGAGTTTAATTGAGATATGACTTTAGCAACAGAAGTCAGAGTGATTTGAATGTCGAACAATGGGTCAACCTGTTTGACTGGAATGGAAGGAAGAGAATGTCCATAAGATTCAAGAGTGGAATTAGAAGAAAAGTTCTTTGCAAATAGTTCTGCCTTATCTTTGGGAGAGGTAATAAGATCAGTCCCATGAATGAGAGATGGAATGTTAGATCTACCCTTGTTAATAATGCTGTTGAAGATTTTCCAAAAGTCTTTAGAGCCTAACTTCTGTGATAAGATGCGAGATTTAATGAACTGAGAATAATGGAGTTTAGCATCAGAAAGCACCTTTTTACATCGATTTCTTGCAATAATAAATAGCCGTTTGTTTTCAAGAGAGTTGTTCTTTTGAAAAAGATGAAAAAAATGATTACAATTGGATATAGCAGCCGCACAAGAAGGAGAAAACCATGGAGTAGAATGAGGCTTGACTTGAAACCGACGAGAAGGAATAAAAGCTTCCATTCCAGCCTGAATCCAGGTTACGTAGGAGGCGCATTTATCAGCTGAGAAAGAAAAACACAGCCCAAGGACCATCACAAAGAAAATCACGAAAAGAATCCCAGTCAGCTTTAGGGTAGTAGTAGGTGGTGCGATGATAAGGTGAGCCCAAAAAAGAAGTACGAAAAGAAAGATTTATAGAGATCATTGCATGGTCAGAACCACCTAAGGGAGAAAAGGGAGAAACTGAACATAAGCTAGGGTCAGAGACAAGACATAAGTCAAGGAGTGAAGGTAAATGATTAGGGTTGTCAGGAAAACGAGTCACAAAGTTAACTATCTGAGTAAGAGATTGAGAAACGCAGAAGTTAAAGGCTTTAGTGCCAGCAGGATCAGTGGTGTTAGAGCCAAGCCATTCAGTGTGATGGGCATTGAAATCACCACCAACAACAATATTGACAGAGGGGTAAAGAGAGAGGGCATGGTCAATTTGATCAGAGATAACATCTAAAAGAGTGCAATCATGGGAAGAAAGAGAACGATAAAGAACAAAGAGAAAGGTGATAGAGTGAAGAGGTGCTAGGCGAAAGCACATAAAAAAATGGTCAAAGGATTCGAACCTGATTTCACGACAAATAGGGGAATTAGTGCATATGTATACCCCTAAACCTAGCATGTGACTATTGGAGTCTTTACAAATCAAAGGATAGTACCCATCAACACTGACATCTGAAGAAGGAATTGCAGAATTTAAATTTGTTTCACTGAGTGCAAGCAAGTCTGATGAATTTTGCAGGAGGTAACATATGTTGATTTTGCAGGAGGTAATGCCTGCAAACTCAACATATGTTTAAGACATTTAAACTTACAGACATTTGTAGGTAACGCTATAAAAATGGAACCTCGAAAATCTTTGACTATTTAAACATCGTCATTAAAAAAAATTTATTCTTATGATTATGATTACAAACTAAAAAATAATATTAAACGCTTATCTAAAAGTTGAGCCAAAAATTTTTATGTATTGACGTCAGTTTGTGACAAAATAAACTTTTATCGTCAAATTTTCTTTTGCATTTATCTTACATTTTAATAATTTCAATTATGTTGCATACAATTGCACAAAAAGATATAAAACGGGTACAGATAAATCATTTAATGGATATGAATTTGTACTTATTACAATAGTAATAAATAAATAGTTTTTTTTATTTATATTGTTTATATAGGGATGGTTAAGCGCCAAACGTACCTATACAATAAAGTTTAAAAATAATTAGTTTCTATTAAAAAATGATTTATATGTTTCTTTACAAACACCAATATACTGTAACTAAAATTTTTAAGTTTTACTGAACTAAATTTAACTAATGAATTTTAATTTTCACTGAACTGCAATTACTTTTAATTTTATTGGTTTAGTGGCTTTTGATAAAAGCTTTTAAATTTTGTGTCTAACTATCTCATTTATCAATAAATGTCAATCAATTATCAATAAAATTGAATTTAAAATCTCATTTCATTAAAATTGTTGTATCAACTATATAATCATAGTAAAAAGATATAGCAAAAAAAACTTTCAATTGTCAAAAGAAAGTTTTATAGCTTTTTCTAGCTAGGGGCTTCTTTTTTTTTTGCCTCCACAGCAACACCTTTTGGAGTAACAGAACTGTATTATTAAATTTTTTCTTTATTAAGTTTCAGACAACATTTTTTTCAGACCATCTGCAGCTTATTAGTACTAATTATGTGAGCACATTAATAACATAAGTATCTCAATCATGACACATATGCAACAAATTTTTTTACAGATGTTTTAATGTTTTGAAAATTTTTAAAACTATATAGTGACTTTTTTTAACGTAAATGAATGCTATAGATCTAAATTAAGAAGATGTTGCCGCAAAGCAATTTTTAAGTGAAAGTCAAACTGTAAAATTTGATAAATGTTTCAGTATGTTTTATCATTACTTAATTTGAAGTTTACGTACATTAGATATTTGCATACACGCTTGTTCACGTATAATTGAAGTATATAAATTGAAGTTACAAAAAAAGCTATAAAACACAATATTGTCAATAACAAATAAATCATCTAATACTGTTACAGCAAAATGGTGAAGTTGATAAATTAAACCTAGTTAAAAAGGAATTTTAACAATTGGATTTATTTGAAAAAAAACTGCTTCAATTGACATTCTTTTTAATGCGCTTCTGATGATCAAACCAATGTCAGCATCCACAGGACTTGTTTTCTGACGCTGGATCAATTAAGAGAATAAAAATAAACAAGTTTGAATTTTTACAAATTTTAATTCAATACTTTTCCTAAAATGCAATTTTTTAAATATAAATAACTTATTATTGTTTTTAAAACATTTTATATTTAAACCCTTAAAAAAAAATAAAGTTTGTTAAATTTTTAGTGCATTTTTTAATTTTTACATCAAATATATTTGAATCATCGTGTATTTCATAATTTCACATCGAAAACCAAGTAATAAAAGTCAAGTATTTGGATGCTCTAATATATATATATATATATATATATATATATATATATATATATATATATATATATATATATATATATATATATATATATATATATATATATATATATACATATATATATATATATATATATATATATATATATATATATATATATATATATATATATATATATATATATATATATATATATATATAAAGTAAGTCAAATTTTATCCTCTTTTTTGTTTATCCTCCTCTTTAATGTTTCAACTTTGTCAAGCAAATGAATATTGATGTAGACATATGAGAGTTAATTTTAAATTTTAGAACTAAAATTAATTTATTTAAGTTATTTTTATGTTTCTGAAAGTTAAGGTCTTTCCGATTGTCACATGATAAAAAAGGTTTCATTGCAAAATGATATTTTATATGATAGTTTATATTTTAATTTTTAATTTGTGTAACCTAAGTTAAAACTACATGTATTTATCAAAGTTCTGGCGTAAAGTTTTTGTTGCTTACAAAATGAACACTTATTTTTTTCATCGCAACTCCCAAGAGGTTTAAAATAACTTAAATTTATGTTTTTTAAATAATGAATGTTTAATAAGGAACAATTCCATGTGAAAACTTATATCTCAGATTTTGCTGATTTTTACACCACTCAAAGATTTTAATAAGATATGAACATTCCCAAAATTTTATTATCTAAAATCAAACTCAAACAACTAAGATTCTGAGCTAACAACACGTGTTCTTTTACAAAAAAGACAAAGATACAATCAAAATACAAAACAATACAAAAGAAGCTCCTGACCTACAATTTTATGCAGAAACTTAGTTCACTAAAATATGATACGCAACTCCCTGGTTACCAACTACACTGCATATTGTATATCTCAAAAAGGTGGAGGTGTAGCCATATATATAAAAAATGGTATTGCCACAACTGAAACTAATATCAAACAAATTAAATTGAGGAAGTATGGCATGATAGAATGTGTCAAACTGTGCTGAACGATTCCATTAATTTGCAAAACATGTCATAAATAGTTGAAATTCTTTACCATCCGAAACTGTAAATGCATTGTCAACAAACACTTAATTAGTCAACCGGATACACAGTATCTTCAGTATAGAAGTGCCTAGTGTCAAATTTTTGTCAAATTTCAAGACAAAAACATTTTTTTTTCAAAAATTTAATTCTTGAAAACATTACGTCTTTGACATAATGCAGTTAGAGAAATTAATTACTGAATATTAATGATAGTCATATCTTTGAATAACTTTGAATAAGTTATTCAAAGATATGACTATTCAAACTTGAACTAACAAAAATCCATGATCTTTGTTTCTGTGTGCAATGGAAAGCTGAAAATGTGTACACATATTTTGAAGCAAGGAATCCAATAAAATCACTTCAAATATTTAAAAATAAACATAACACATTAACCTTAATTGAAATTTTAATGGGGTGAGTTTAATTACAAAAATGCCTATGTAGCTCGATTATATTTTTTTAGATGTCGTCCTGAATAATTTAGTTAGAGTTGTTACAAAAAACTGGAGAGTGGTCTTTTCTAAACAGAAAAAAAAAAACATAGTCAAATTTGCTTAAATTTATTAGTTATAAAGCAGGTATTATGAAAAATTGAAGAAAAAAAAAGATGGTACTCTAAATTAAAGGAAAAAAAAAGATGGTACTCTTAAGTGGTTAATACACAGAAGTTGATGTTTAATAATTTTTGGAAAATAAAATCTGTATCTCAAAACTAAAAAATTATTTTTAGCTATTATTTTCTAATTTTTGAGACTGGTTTAGGTCTTAAAAATCAGAAAATAATTATAGAATTAAAAAATAAAAAATTCCTACCCTCCTGTTTATTGCTAACCGCTTTCTCTCACTTCATTTATTCCACCTCATTTATTTCACCTGGACAAAAACTTGATTTATCTATTGATTAAAAGAGTTTAACAAGTTTATTAGGCTAAATTTTGAGTGGAAGTGACCATTATGTTTTATAATCATTTCTCTTTCTTTAAATACAACTTCCTCCACAACTCTAATTGAAAAAGAAACATCACCTCCTGAATTAGCAATAACACTTACTACTATTGCAGTATGCCTAACTGTAAGTCTATTGCTATAAGAACCATTTCTTTAAAATATCTAGGTAAAAAAATAAACAATGGTAGATTGTTTATATGTTATGGCATTGTAATGATTATTGTTATTCTGACTAAAAATTATTTTGGCTCAATTTTATAAACTATTAAAAGCCAAATTAAATTAAATATGCTCCATCATATAAAACATATATTGAATATATAATGAATATATATGATGTATATAATATATGATGCACATATAATGAATGAAACAATGAAATGGAGAGAGTAATGGTAAACAACTTTATTAAATATTGTTTTTTACCAATAATTGTTTCAACCAATTCTTGGCCACTAGTCAATAAAAAAAAAATGTTATTTACTCACGAAAATTAGTTTAGTTTTAATTAGTCAAATTAATTTAGTCAAAACTTGTTTAGTATAGTAATACAAATTTAATAAAATATAAGAAACATTAAATAAAAAAGTCAGATTATGATTCTGAACTTCCTCATTAAATTTATCTACTAATGATGTACATTTGACAATGTCTTTTATTTCTGTTTTAGGAAAGACCACAATCCAAATCACTGTGATAACTCTAATTAAATTATTCAAGACAATTTAAAAAAAAAATTGGGCCAATACATCTGAATTTTTATTTAACTCTTCACTTAATTTAAAATTTTAATAAATTTTTGAAATTTAGGAACAAATTTTATAAAATTATCAAGAAAACAGAAAAAGCAAGTAAGCAACAACTAAAGGAATAATTTGATATGGTCAAAGCTGTTTCAGTTTCATTACTGTCAAGTTACTACAAGGTGCTTAACAAAATGTAGGGTGGGAATAAAAGGATGGGAGCGAATATTTATTTAGACATAATAAATGGGGGGAGATGGGAAAGAAAGAATAGGGGGGAGAGGTGGGGAAGAAGATAGTCTTAACAAACAGGTAAGTAGGAATTTTTTTTTCCAGATGCAAACCAATTAAAATTAAGTTGTTGTTTTTGCATTTATGGCTTCATCCTGAACCATTGTACAATATCTTAATTCTTATATAGTAATAAAATACATACAAAAAAACAAGTGTTCCTAAAACTCCAATAAAAAAATTACCCTTAACACCATTTATAGCTATTTTGCAAAGAATCATGTGTAATAAAAGAACTATAAATTTTCAAATTATCATACCTTTAGTTCAGAAATATCAATTTTATCTTTTATGGTAAAATCACTAAAATACAAAAAATTTTCATATATAATAAGAATTATAAATTTTGTATTTTATATATATATATATATATATATATATATATATATATATATATATATATATATATATATATATATATATATATATATATATATATATATATATATATATTTTAAGTACAGTGCAGCTAATTTGACTTTTGCTCAGAATCTTAGTTGTTTGAGTTTGGTATTAGATGATAAAATTTTGGGAATGTTCATTACTTATTAATACAATCTTTGAGTGGTGTAAAAATCTGCACAAAAAAAAAGTGAAATTAGCTGCACTGAGATTTAATCTGAGATTTAAGTTTGCATTTTATAAAAACTAATTTGACTTTTTTTTTTCTTCAATATTACAATCTGATATTCGTTTTCATTAAGAAGCTTTCCATCAAAATGTAGAGAAATGTAATCAAGTGCCAATTGCATACAAATTCTGGCAGCTTTTCTTGTTGATACTGTTGTTGATGTCGCTAAGTTCATGGCAACTTTACTCTTGTTATTTTTTTTGTCATGTCATTATTGGTGAGCAAGTATATTCATCATCATTTTCATATTCACTTTCTATAACTTCAGACTTATCTGAATCATTATTATTAGATGAGAGATCGTAGGAAACTGGTAAGATAATTTTCTTCTTTTGGAAGGATGAATTGTTTTCTTGCCTGCTTCTATACAGGTGGAATAACTCTTCTTGGACTTCAAGAGAATAGTGTATAATATCTTCAGCTAACAACCATACTTTAGTGATATTAAACAGTTCGTATAATGTGCCATATTTAACACACATAAAAGTTTTGCTTGTATTACTTGATTGGATACATAAGGAAAATTTATTTATTCTTCCATAAACTTTAAACTTCTTTGAAAATGTTTGCTATTCTTTCCTTTCGTCCTTTAATTTCAGCTCCAAGGAACTGGTATTGCCAACTACTTGCTTTTTGAGTGGTATTCTGCAGCATTTGAGTAGTAACCTTACCATGACTACAATTTCTAAGCAGCGGTGGCACAGTGTAGCGCGCTTGCCTCAGGAACAAAGGATCCATAGTTCAAACCCCACCTCTAGGCAAGTTTTGCAGCATTGGTTAGGAAGGAGGCATGAACTTCCTATTAAATTTTTTAAAATTGTTTTTAGGTAAAAATTCATAGATTTATGATACAGGAAATGTAATATTTTTAAAAAATGTATGTACATTCATTAACAAACTTAAATATTGAAAACATGTTTAGAGTGTAAATAGATCAATTAAGGACATTGGTTAAGCTGGGCAATCTTAATGCTAAAATATTAATTATAAAAATTAGAAAATTATGAATCATTCAAAAAACATAAAACTATAAAAATTATGTTCTATATTCATCAGCTAAGAGATGTTGATATCAAGAAGCACCTAATTTACCTAATGCTAATTATATTCTTTCAATATTTGTAGACAGAAATATAATTTTTATGATTAATTACTTTATAAATACTATGCAGTAAGAATTTAAAACAAAGCTTTTTGAATAAATAGAAAATATCTTTTTTAATTAATCCCACTCTTGCAATATTCTATATTAGTAAGTAAGAATCAGATTATAAATATAACTTCAAATAACACACCTAATAATTGTTTATATATTTGTCATGCAATCCAACAATTGTTTTGAAACAAATGTCATTGAAAACATATATGACACCTGCAACTCCAGAGAAAGAATTTGATGCTGGAGAAATTATTGTTTCATAAGAGGTTTGAATAAATCTCTTAGAAGCAGTGAGAGTGTAATCCAAGTTTTTAATACAAGTTAAAATTTACATTAAACAGGAAATTTGAATATCTAAAAGATACCACCAAAAATAAATTAAAGCCCAAGAATGTTCACTTCAAAAGCATATTAAAGAAAAAGATTGAAGAAGCTGCAGCTACTGGAGAAGAGGAAGTATTTATAGGCTTTTTATAAAATTGTTAATGAAAAAAATAGCCCTCTCCCTGATAAAACTATTTCCACTCAGACAGTATATAAACAATGATTCTATGGGAAAGTTATTTATCTCATTAATAGACCATACTAAGTATACCACAAAGTTTATAATGAATATATTTAAGCATACCAAACATCATATTGAAATAGCAAAAATGAATGATATGCATCTTAAAAAAAGTTTGCAATTCTAGAGAAGAAAGTTTGTTCTAGACTTCATCAATGAAAGTGTGAACATACCTTTATTTTATATTTACAAGTAATTTGTTATATATTACTCAAGGAATAAACAAATTGAATTAGGCAAGATTTAGGTAGCTAATGCAAATTTAATAACAAAATATAGCCAAACTATCATGTTCTTTCAAAAAAGTTGCACTGAAAGCAACCATGTACTGATTCAAGTTTGTGAAAAGTCTTAGATGCAATAAAAATGTCAAGTCGAAAATCCTTAGCTGAGTTAGATTATTATTACTGTATTAGATCATAGTCACAGCTTTAGAAATGAATTTTCAAACTACAAAAATTAGCTTGAAGATTTAATTATAAATCTTTTGAAATCTTTAGAATTTTAATTTAGAGTTAAAAAAAAAATGAAAAAAAGTATCCGAAAACAAGTTATCAAACCAATTATAGTGTCAATGACTCAAACATTATACCTCCAAGATCATGCTTTATTGAATCCAACTGAAAATGTTTTCAACCCAATTCAATCAGAAGTAGTATGTATTGATTGTTATGAAATGCTTAAATGTATTGAGATGATCAAAGAATACAATTCAAAGTTCTAAAGATTATAATCTTTGATTTGGAAATTGTTGTAAAAGATGTATTTAACTATGCAAAACATCTGATGAGAGATTTTAAACAGAAAAAATATCAAAGTTTTTAAGCAATTAAAGAATGAAACTTATCAAACTTGAAATGAATAAAAACTTGTCAAAAAAATTCTTCCAGTTTGATACCTAGAGAGTAAATTAGCAAGAAAGAAATAATTTTAAATTTAGGAAAGTTATTCATATATGTGATCAGGAAATAGGTGACAATTTGTTAGCCACTGAAGTTTTGAAACAATTTAGAATTGATCAACTGCATATCCAGACGATGTTTATCAAATCTGATGTTAAATATCAGGGAAATTTTTCAGATTGGTGGTAATAATCATTTGACTGCTGAAAATATATTCAAGACTATCCATTATATTTTTGACACAAAATATGTAAAAGTAGTAGTTGCTCAATTTAGCAATAATGAATTACTGAATAAAAGATTAAAAAACATTAGCAACTATCACTTATTTGAATTTGATCAGAAAAGTATGAAGATGTGGCGTTATTTTGATACCGGTGAGGGAATTGAACAAGAGTATGCAAGGCTTAATTTACGGTTTTTTTACAATTTATGGAACAGAGTTATGCAATCAAAATTTTTGTCATGTTATTCTGTTTATTTATAGTTATAAAAACTATAACTTCACCATGATTATAGTGAAGTTGTAGTTTCTTTCATAATTATTTAGAATAATTTATCGTAGCACTTTGTTTTTTAATAAAATAGTTTCAATTTAATATTGTACATGTTTTTAGAGAGATTTAATATTTTATGTTGTTAATTTTTTTTTTTTCTTTACTATTTGACAACGTCTATTTTGATGTATTAACATTTTATATGCAATTTAAAAAATTGTTATGTTACTAATAACTTTTTATCGTTGAACTTTTTAAAAGTTTTTATTTTAAAAGGATTTAAATGAAATTAAATCAAAAATTAATTTAATAAAAAAAAAATAATGATCGTTTAGAAAATAAATGCATTATGTCTAATTTAAATGTTATATTTAAATTCTTTTTTATTAGGTATGTATTTTTTATGATTAATTTAAGTGTTTAAAACTATTTTTTCATGTCATTCAAAAAATCTTTTAAAATATTATTTTTTTAAGTTGTATTGTTGTTATATATTGTGTTTTTTAAGTCATGGTATTGAAAAAACAACATTTTTTTTAATATAACTTTTTTTGCAACTTTTCGAAAAAAATGTTTCTACAAATTAAAAATGATAATTTTATTTCTTTTCAATAATAAAATTGCTCATTTATTAAAAAATCATTAAAAGTAATTTGCATAATCATTTTGCGTAACTTTTCTAGATCAGTTTTAAAAGATCAGTTTAAAAGTAAACTTTTTCAAATGCAAATAAAAAAGTAACAAAAAATAATTTCTACTTCGAGTTTTTTTAATTTTATTCTAAAGCTTATTTATTTTTGGAAGGAATTGTTTTGCTTATTTTTTAGTTTTTTAAATTTTTTTTTCCTAGTTTAAGTTAAGGTTAACGCTTCTTTTTTCAGGACATTTCTGAAACGTTTAAATCATCAAAACATCTAAACAGTCGTGGTCAATTTATAAACAATAAAAATTATTTGCGTAGTCCGCAAAAGCATTCAATCACACACCATTTCTGTCCAAACTTTATTTTGTAGAATAAAATTCCCTTTGGTCAAAATCTTCAATTACTTTGTAAATTGAGCAGACAATCTGAGGCTTTAGCCAGACAATGGCCGATGTCTAATCGTTAAATTCAGCTCTGAGTATGGAAATCCTAATATTTAGCTCTCTATTAACTTGTTCCTTCTATATAGCAAAACAGATAATTCAATTCAAAGAAACAAGTCACTAAAGGAAAAACAACCGACAATTATTTTGTTTACGATTCTGCACTATAAATGCAGAAAAGTTAAAAGAACATATGTTACAAGAACATATGTTATCTGGTCTCATACGATTCCAAAATCACTAACATCATTAGATAGAGTTTTAACTTGTTTGTTCAGAAGATTAAAACTACTTCACAACAAAAAATCCTAATATCTTCACTTTCTAACAAATTCTGTAAAAGATAAACTACCACATTGCATGAACATTTTTGCATCGTAAGGTTGGGCATTACCAGGTCGAAGTTCTTTTAGATTTTCAAATCAACAGAAAGTTCTATACTGTTGTATAGAAATATGATAAGCTCTAAGCAAGTTCACATGCAGCTTAAAAAGCAACTTCCTTTAAATATGTAACTAATAGGATAAGATCTTTATTTTAAAAGTAAGAAAAATTAAATAGATTAAAAAATAAAATAAAAATAGATTAAAAAAATTAAATAAATTAATAGAAAAAATTGTTTCTATTAAACAATTTTATAAGTAAATTTGATAAAGTTGCTTAATCTTAAATAGTTCTTTTGCAAATTTGTAACTAAGTAAACTTCAGTTAAAACTTTATGTGTTTGTATACAAAAGTATGTTTACATATACTTTTGTATACAAACACAATATTAATGAATTTAATACTTCACAGAAAAATTTTATAAAGTTTTACCTTTCAATTATTTTTGCTTGGACATCAGTGAGATTATTAACCACATAATCTTCATCATCTGAAAACTTGGGAGAAACTTGTGAACTGCTAATGCTCTTTATGTCAAGTCGCACCCACGAACCTATGATAATCTTTTAGAATTAATTTTCAAATAAATTATCAATATCAATTCAAGTTGAAAAATAGAAACAATAAACAATGAATAATATAGAAACAATTTATATAATAATGATTAATTCATGTTGACATTTTTAAAGTGTTAGTCAGGGTCCTTTAAAATTTGTTTTATATTTTAGCAGGCCCACTAAATATGTTCTGTACCATAAAATAACACTAATTTAAAAAAATTACAAATAAAAAAATACTTAAAGTATAAAAAAAACTTATAAAATAAAAAATACTTATAAAAAAAAAAAGTCAATCAAGACTTTGAATATTTAACAAGATAAGTATTCAAGTTAGTCTATTTTTAGTTTTTATCTTAAATCTTTTTTTACTTAAACTTCAATTGAGAAATTCTCAAAATGTAAAAGCAAGAAATAGACAAGAATTTATTTTATCAAGACATGAAATACTTTTGTTTAATGACATCTTTATAATGGTAAAGACCTTTTAATATACACTATTTTGAAAAAAAATTAATTTATTAATTTAAAACTTTTTAAATTTTAAATAAAAAACTCATTTTGAATGTTTTTAAATTGTGATCTAAGAAAAGTTTTATATTTCAATCTGATGGTATTGTTTTTATGGCATTATGGCTACAAGGTTTTATTTTACTTATATCAGTCATTTATAAAATAATTATAAATTATTTATCAGTTTATTTACTCATTCCAATATTATATAATAGATAAATGCATTCTTCTTTTTAATAGTTTTTCATATAAATTAATTTTCTCCTGTTTTTTTATTTTTTTGTTTTTTTTTTGTTCATCTAACAAGAAAAAAATTTTTATGATGAAGACTTCTATTATGTGATAGCCATGTATCGTTATGGTACTTATAATACTTAAGTGGTATAAGTATTATATTCACATGTGGTCTATATGTGGCTTTATAATAAATTCATAAACTCACTTCTATTTTTGGTTTGCATTTATCAAAATGTATTTCAATGGATTCTCACATTTTTCTGCTACTATTTTTTTTTAAGTCTTTCAACTTGGTCACATACATTTAATAAAAAACTGTTTAAGTGCCACAGAGAAGTCTGGTCATGTATTTCCTCTTGTACATATTTTTGACTATTAAAATTTGTTTGGTCTTTTTATTTTTGTCTAGCAAATTTATTTTTATATACATTCCTATTTATTAGATTTTTCACTGTCTTTTACATAAAAAAAATAGTATGATGGTCATGTTACATAATGTCATATACCTGACATTGATTCATCATTAGAGATAGCCATTTATCGATTTTTTCATTGAAAATTTTTTAGTAAGTCAGAAAGCTAGAATAAAAAAATTTTTTCTGCGTTAATTATGTTCAAAATTGAAAATCCTATAAAAATTAATACAACACAATTAAAATACAAATTTATTATTTAAATGTTTAAATGTTTTCATTTAAAAATGTTAAATTAAATTTAATTGGAATCATGATCTTAACTCTCATTTTTTAAATTAAGATTATAAAACGATGTATTAAAACAAAATTACATTTCAAATTTATGAATTTTTTCTGGGGTTGCTTGAGCTCCAAGGTTACTTAAACTCAAAAAAAAAAAAGTATTTATTTATTTATTATTTTTTTTTTTTATGTTTTATGAGTTATTTGGTGTGAAATTTATTGATTTCTCACTCAAATCACTCACTCAAATCAAGTTAAAAAAGAATGGTTCTTAAAAGTTTTATCAGTAGCTGAAAAAAGTAGCTTTTCGTTATGTTTTTTAGCAAAATAAGTGTCAGATATAGTAAATGACATATTAAAGTAAAGGATATGACATAGTAAAGGTCATACAGTTGTGATCAAATTGACAACTTTGGTTTTAAGAATGAATGTAGTTAACCAATTAAAAAATAACTTAATAGCAGGGCATGATGGACTTATAGCTCATGTAACCAAAAATATTGGTTACTTCACTACCACTAAATTACCAAAATACCAAAAAACATTTATACTCAATAAATCTATAGATAGTGTCTTTTCTGACATGGAAAAAAGCAAATATAACAGCAATATGAAAGGAAAAAAAGAGAAAATATGATTGAGAAAAGTTGCCCTATCTCTGTAAAAACATCTGTAATAACTTTCTAGATTATATGAAAAAATAATATGCAGACAACTATCAGAAAAAGGTGAAGAACTAATACCAATCTAACAACTTTAATTTAGGAAGAATCCCAATTGTAAAACTGCTTTGAAGACTGCAACCTTTCCTTGTATAACTCACTTTATTAAAAAAAACGTCATTAAGTGAGTTACACTGAGTTATATTTTAAAGGTGTCAAGCTTTAGTATGTTTAAAAGACGAGCTATTCCTAGGTTTGAGACAAATACTTCACACACACACACACACTCTGCTTTGCATAAATTAAAGTCTCTCTGAATGTGCTTTAGAACATTTTAGCATTAATAATGGTTGTATCAATTTGTTATTATATTAGAATTGTTGATCTAAAGTAATCCCTAATATTTTAACATGAGTTACTAGTTACGTTTCTCTAATTTCAATTTTAATATGGAAGTTAGCAAGAGGTTGTTTTTAAGGTGGTTTGATTGTGAAACTATGATTGACACAAAACTTATTAGTTTCTTCAAATGCTTTGCTTTGATGAGTTTCTCAGTGACAATTTGCAGTGAGCTGTCTGCAGCTGATAGGTTAATGCCATGTGCACACAAATAAGTTTCAGTTGCTGATGCTTGTAGAAGATTTCTTTTATAGGTGTCTCACATTTCTACTGGGTAAACTTATTCCCATTTTTTAACTCTGTGAACCCATTCTTCTAGATAATTTTTAGAAATAGTTTTCAAGCATTTTATCTTCATCCTATTTTGGCAAGCCTATTTAGTAAGTTTTCATTTCGGACACTATCTAGCGTTTTTGTCAACCCTATCAATAGAAAATAAATTGATGCAACCATTAAAAAATGCCACTCTGGTATAAAAATACCAGCACAAGATTGTCACCTTTCCAAGGAAACTTCTAAAAGTAGCGTATAAAAGACTTATACTGAACCAATTGTTTATCATTTAGCTATAAATTATAAAGCAAAATATACAGGTTAAAATAAAGACTAATTAAATCAAAAAATATGATAAAATTATTATACAAACTGCAATTAATTTTTAAAGCAGTAAAACCAAAAAAACTGTAAAAACGTAATAAAAGTTGTACTTTAAGAGACTGAACAAAAGTATTTTAAATACTGTAAAAAGTATAGCATAGCACTTGTAACTTATAAAGAATAACTTGAAACTCGTTAATTATTAAAGAAAGTTCTTTAATTTAACTATTTAACTTTTTAATTTAACCATTAAATAAATATAAGCTAATTTAAAAATACCGCGAATTAGTCTTTTAAAAAGTACGAATGTATTTTCGGTTTTAAAAAACTCGAACGTGAACGTACTTATAACGCTTTAGTACCGTAAGTTACGGCAGACAATTTATCAATTAAAAAAAAACTAATTGATAAATTTAAATTTTTTAGAAAATTTAGTTTAAAATAGTTGCACTTTTCAAACTTACTTTTCTAGAAGATTATTAACTACTAAAATTTAATTTTTATCATATTTATTCTTTTATATTTTATCATATTCCGTTCTTTTCAGTTGTTTTATTATCCCAAATATTTCTAATAATTGAATATTTCAACATGGCAAAGAAACACAATGATTTTATATAGCCTAATAATTTTAAATATCATCTTAAACTGATTTGCTTTAAAGTTATATATATATATATATATATATATATATATATATATATATATATATATATATATATATATATATATATATATATATATACATATATATATATATATATATATATATATATATATATATATATATATATATATATATATATATATATATATATATATATATATATATATATATATATATATATATACATATATATATATATATATATATATATATATATATATATATATATATATATATATATATATATATATATATATATATATATATATATATATATATATATATATATATATATATATATATATATATATATATATATATAGTATATATATATATATATATATATATATATATATATATATATATATAGAGGGTGAGCGTTATTTGGTTATATTTGGTTATATTCTTAGAGGGTGAGCGTTATTTGGTTATATTTGGTTATATTCTTAGAGGGTGAGCGTTATTTGGTTATATTTGCCGTTTGCTAAGTTGTGTTCAAAACTCTAATTGCAATGCAGGAAGCTTTTTCAACGAGGTTTTAAGTTAGGTTATACTTTTTGACAAGAGGGACGATACGCCATTTGCTGTTGCGGTTGAGGTACCAAAGTTTTGATTAGTAAGAGAAGTTAGCTGGTTAAGCAAGGTTGCCTGCGTTTGATCGGCTTGAAGGTGGGACACGAGATGAACTCGTCACAGCATTTGATATAGTTGTCGCAGAAGTTTTGATAGCATTCGTTGCCATATTGGTCTTTAAATAGACTAACCTAACTGACTTTGGAGAGTTTTTCATTTAGATTATCGTAACTACCTTTCCTATATATAAATTTTGAGCTGTTAAAACGGGGAGAGTTGTAGACGTTTTTGGCTCGTTGGTGTTGCCATGTCAGAGTGCAGTGGCTTTGTGAGGCGCTACGAAGAGGATACCGGTTGTAATGTGGCTTGTTTGATCGATTGCTATGGTGATTATGAGGTCTAGTGCATTTTTGAACAGACCGTTAGCTTGGATGAAGCTGGGATTAATTACGTGCTGGTGTAGATGTAGGTTGAAAATGAATTTGATAAATTTAGTGTCAAAACAAGTTTAGGTGCTAGTGATGTTGGTCCAGTCGTCATGCCAAATAACGTCGGGAAAGTTCTTGACCTGTTCTTTTTTAATTTATATTATTAATAAAAATTTATAAATTTCAGAGACTTAAATATAAAAATAATTAAAAAAATTAGTTAAAAACTATAAAGTATTATATAACATATCTTGTTTTGAAGATGTTTTTTTAGCTACAATTTATGTATTTTTATATACTATACTTATTTCTGAATTTATTGTTTCTTATCTCTCGTGTTAGAAACATAATAAGTGTCTTAGCCTTTTACGCTGAGTTAAATATATAGATTTTGAAAAAACAATAGTAGTTTATATTTAGTATATTTAGATTATACATAGGTTAACATTTTTTAATAGGCATTTAAGGAATTCTTTGATTTAATAAAGTTCTTTTATGCATGCAATCAAAATTTTTAAGAAAGGTTAAGATGGACCCAATAATGCTTTTTTAATAAAGCATATGTTTTATTTAAACATATATTAAATATTATAAATTTAAAATTAAGGGGAAATATCTCCCCTTTATTTGGTAAAAGTCTCCTACAAATATACTTTTTGTTCATATTTTTTACAAGCATATGAAATTTTATTTTTTTGCCCCATCCTCAATTTAAGTTTAAAGAAATCTGTTTTGTAAATAAGGCCGGCGCGAAGGGGGTGGGGTGTGTGGGTAATCGAGTGTGACCCATTAATGATTTTTTTGTTCATTTAGCATTTCAGTATATTATGCAGTTAGTTTTTTTTGAGTAACATAGTGTTTTTTATTTTATTGACATTTTGTTTTTTATTTTATTGATAAATTTGACCCTTTTAGACAAGTCAGTCGGCAAATGTAGACCCTTTAGACAAGTTAGTCAGCAAATTTAGACAGTCAGTCGGCAAGTGTTGATAAGTACGTCGGCAAATGGCGGCTATTCAGTTGGCAAATTTTAAAAAGCGAGGACCTTATTTTTTTTTTTTTTTAGTCGGCAAAAGTACTTTTGCCGACTAAAAAAAAAAAAAAATAAGGTATGTATTATATATATTGTATGTAATTACATACAAAACTTTATTTTGCATTAGATTATATTTTGCAAAATTAAAGTACATTCTAAAATGTTTTAAATATAGTTTTAATAAATTGAAATATTTATCCCCACATTTTGTTTTAGAAATGGGAAAATATGTTAGAAAAGCACAAAAGCAGTGTTAGAGTGAGAGAAAACCTAGCGGTAAAATTTGGGAGATTTTGAGACCCAAATGATATGTTTTTTTTAATGTGGGGAGGGCACTCCGACCCATTAGTCACGGCACTGATAAAACTTGTTTTGTTCAACTCAAAAAATAGGTTGCCTGAAATACGCCTTACTCAGGGCCAGTATATAAGGGGTGGCATTATGCATGGGCGCCCAAAGAATTTTTTGATGTTCTAGATAGTACACTTTCACACATTTGGTATAGGTATTCTTAAGTTTGGAGCTTGCACAAGATCCAAACATAATATGCCTATGCCAAGTGTGTGAAATTTGTGCAAGCTCTAAAACTTAAGTATAACTACGGCAAATGAGAAGGCCTTGCAAAAAATTGGGATGGCGGAGGCTTGAAAACAAAAAAGCCCTTAAAATATTATAATGTTGAAATTTTACTACATTAGGGCCCGCACGCTTGGGCAGAGGAGGGACAAGCTTTTTAGGGCTTTTTTGTTTTAGATGATACATATACCATCTAAAACTAAATTTAAATTTATCGACAGATTTTAAATTTCGTAGAAAAATATTGTAAATTACAAAAGTTATGACCGTACAAAATTTACACCCCACTCAATTTTTTTCGGGCGTTTTCAGGCTTTTTTGCTCCCAGGCCTCCGCCTTCTTAATTTTTTGCAAGACCTCCTTATTTGGCATAGGCATAAACATACATAAGTTACAACACTAACTTCATTACGAAAAGTGAAGCCGCTTTTTGCCCTTTTTACAAATCCGGATTAAATTTGTAAACAAATATTTTTAACTTTTGATTTCTTAAATGAAGTAAATATATTTTAAACTTAAATACTATTTACGTAAAAGTGTTAGGCGGAAATTATAATACTTGTAATATAATAATTTATGATTCCTTAATTTATTTTCGATTAAAAAGAGATTTAAATTATCATCATGAAGTTTTGAAAAGAAAAGTAAAACGTCTTACTATTTTGAAGCATTTTTATGAATTAAAACACTTTTTAATAAACATAGGCTTATGAAAAAACTTTTAAAAGTATTTTATAATCGTTAAAACGAATTTTTGAATTATCTTTAATTTATTGGGAACTTTTGACGTGTATTTTTAACTTTTATTCTACACTTCGGCAACAGCTTTTGTCATTTTTACAAATGGTTTACAAATGGCTTGGGGAGGGGTACCCCTTCCTGAATAGGGTGTTTGGGGGGTGTTATCCCACTGAATTTTTTTTATACATAAATAATCCTGCTAAATGCAGATTTGCAATCCTTTTTAAATCATTATATTTAAATATTTGGTACAAAACAAAATCTACCAAAAATAATTGCAGTTACTGTAAAAAGTGTTTCTTCGATCTGCGTTCTTTCTTTTTGCGTTCTTTCTTTTTTGTATATATTTTCTTTTATTGTATAACGATTTTTATCTCAACTATCTTATTGTATAACTATATTGAATATTCAAGAAAAGAACAAAAAAAAAAAAAAAAAAAAAAATGCCCAAATACAGATGAACGTTGAGTGCTTTAATGTCAACCTTGTTTAGGTAATCTTTGTTAATGTGCATTAGAGCGAGAGGAGTGAGGCGACTCTGTAACATTGTTGACCATAGCCAAGTATTTAGCCGTCTCAATACACTGAAGGACCTTTCAGAACCAGCTACGGATATTGGAACAGATAAACACAACACAACTACCTGTTCCACCATGTCAAATGACCTGCGGGTACTTGGCTTTTAAAGCTCTTTTAAAGCTGTTGCTAGCTGGTGTAAATCTTAACGCAGTAACTTATCCTTAAGCAACTGTGGAAACAGTTGCAGCTGTAACTGCAGCATAGGAACATCAACATTATTTGGCAAACTTTGCAGTGGCATGCTGGCTGCATTACTTGTGGATGTGCATGAACCTATCAAAATAGCTTCTGTGCTTGCAATTTTATGCAATCCATCTTGGTTAAAA